AAAATGAAAATAATATGAAATACAGAATTACATTAAAATTGGGGCTCTCTCCATGGTCCGCTGTCCGAGGGTTAATGGGAAAATTGCTTTTCTTTCACTTCTTGACTGCTCTAAAATAATGAATTTAATCTTTTATAAGTTTATACTATTTGACATAATTTTAGAAAAAATATAACGCTACAATAGCAACCTAAAACAATGGCGAAAAAGTTAACTCTCGAAGTGAAATTCGAACCGCAGTCTCATCTGACACCGGCGACGAAATGCGAAGTGCGATGAAACGTAAAATCGCGAAGGATTAACGCCGTTCCAATTATTTCCTTCGTCATGAACGCGGAAAGCGTGAAAGTTAGTCGTGGAAACGAAGTATCGGGAAATAATCCCGATTTTCAACCGGCGAAAGTGGCAAACACGGGGTGCCGTCGGTTTAATTCCGGTTCAGAGGATACTTGCTACTTTCAGAAAGGGTGGCGTCGAATTATGAACGGAAACAAAGAGATTTAAACTTCGAACTTGTGAGCCACGATCGATTGGGCATGAAACGAGGCAAAGTTTGCCGATCCAAGGGCCTCCGCCCGATTTCAATGTGTACACTGGAAATGATGTTGACCGTACGGCCAACGAGAACCGAGGCTTTAATTTATTCCATTTTGACAAGTCAAGACTTACTATCTTCTGCTTTATTGTTAATTGAAAAGCTTTGTTTACTATTATCATTGGTCCATATCTTCATGCATTTATAATATTCTTGCGATGAAAGATTTTATACATTGACTGACATAATAGAAATTGACATAAAGAGTGACACAAGTCAAAAAGACAAAGTTATTTAGAAAAAACAATGATTGCATATTTTAAAATGAATCTTTCAATATTAAACACATTAAAAAAGCAATTATTTGCTTCAAACTTTTTAAAAATAACTGACACATTAACCCTTTACATATGAAAACAGAATAAATTAATATGGTAGTCATTCTTATTATCCTGTACTATAGTGTAAGGTCCATAGGATTACACAGAAATATTCAGAAATTCATAAATTATAGAGAAAAGGATTAAAATAGTTCATTTTCTTTGTAATTTTGCAACCTAATAACATTTCTTTTTGCTAATAATTGTTGAATTAAAGTAAATTAACTAGTCACCAATGACTTCTATTATATTTAACATCTTAAATTTAAAGAAAATCAAAATGGTCCTCAGAAACAACCCCTCAACAGAACGAAACCATGGTTTGCTCGAAAAATATCCAATTTACTTGTAAATTTGAAAAAATGTTTAAAATATCTACCTGAGAATAGAAGTGGAGAAAAGGAAATCGTTCACAGGAAGAAACATTCATCGGACCCACCACGAATCCTCTCTTTCCCTTTACAAGTTACAAATCCTACGCGGTAAGCCGCTTGGTAATCTTCTGATATCGTTTAACGCCATATTTCGCAAAATATACGGGCCTGGAACCGCGCAGGGCATTTCGTTGGCAAGGTAGACGGGCAGAGGGAATGACACCGAGAGGGATGAATTTCCAGTGAATGAGGAGGGTGCTGGTACACGATGGTGTGAGGGTTAGAGATCTCCGGGTTGTCAGGCGGCGGATGATTGCATGCCTGCGGCGGCGCTTCGCGAAGAGCCGAGCACCGCATACATAATATATATCACTTACCGAGTGGTCACCTACGTTTTATGGGCTTTTCACAACGTTTCACCACGTTTTTCATAAAACTAAAGCTATTGACAATAAGTAGATACCACTATTCCATTGAAGATAAAAATGAACCAATACTTATTGCTACTTTTCTCTAATGCTTTTGTGTAGTGCAATTATTATAGATTTTCTATTAGAAATTTGGTTTATGAAATTAATTGAAAAATTTGTGTTAAGTCAAAGACAGTTGAACTTTTGTCCAAGTCCTAAGATACGAACCTTGCCATATTTAACCCTTTAACAGCGGAGTCCAGGTCAATCGAGACCAAAACATTAACTTAATATTAACTTAAAATTAAATATATAATTTTTATCATTTTTAAATGAAATGGTTTCATAAATTGGAAGAATAATTTTTAGAGCAGTGTGAAATTTAAAATTGGTGCTCTCTCCATGGTCCGCCGTCCGAGGGTTAATAAAATTCATATGTAGATAATAGAATTCAAGTGACTATTGTTTAGTAATTATTAAAAATAAGAAAAATTGAACGAAGATCCCTTACAAACACAACAAAGGGTAAAATGGAGAAGTGTCCTACGACTTCTGAGCAGTAATAATCACCCTCTTCGTGTATAAGGCTCATCTTCGTTGATTACCTTCGTGAACTCCTAATTTCTAAGAAATCAACAGCATCCATGAAGGACGTCCCGCAACAAACACATACTCGCGTCGTTTTCATGGATGATGACCGTGAAGAGGGGAGAACTAGGCTCACCTTAGCCTGTGTGGAGTCTCCTTAACGTTAGGAAGCTCTGCCACTAATTGAATCTCCTCTCTTACTCGCGTCTGGAGCCTCAGCAACCGCTGGGAACCAGAGCACCCGTCCTGCATTAAACGCCCCCGACACCCTGGGCACCCTCATCCCCATCGAGCGGTCTGGTCTGCCCCTGGCTGCCTTTCTCTTTCGATATGTACCTCTATCTCTCTTTGTCATTCTCCTTCACCTTCCTTTGAATATACTACGCCTTTCTTTATCTATTTCGTTGCACCTTTCTCGTTCTTTTCTTATTTTACTTTTGCTCTTCTCTCCATCTCCCTGTGTTTCCTTTTATTTATATGCTTCTACATGATTCTGTGTGCTTTTGAACGAATTTAAAATCTTTTTTTCACGCGTGTAAGATATTGTAACTAAGATATAAAATAGAATATTAGGGAGAATCGGAGTTGTAAATTATGTATATATTTAAGTAATTGAAAGAAAATAGCAGGGAAATATTACTTTGAACGATATTTCTGTTATATTAGGGGGTGGCAGATGGAAAGCTTGAAATTTGAAATTTGGAAATTAATTATTCCTGTTTTTAATTAAGAATTTAGTATTCTAATATAAATTAGGTCTGCTGGAGTGGCCGCCTTTCTATTCTATAATTTCACAATCCCAAAATTCCAGATTTTCAAAATTCAATAATCCCAGAATTTCAGAATCCCAAAATTCTAAAATTCCAAAATTTCTAAAGAACCTGAACCATCATAAAACAAATCCTAGTTAAGCCAGTGAATATAGACAGGTGTTACTGTTTCATTCCACCTACGAATTTTATTTCCCAGTAAATGCTAAACAAGAATCACCGTGACAGGATATTCAGTTGAAATATCAAACCAGGATTATATAAAGTCGCGCACTTATCGATATGAAATCGGATTTGCCGTAGCACACGAAATACATCTCTGAATCGATACGTGTTCAAATGCTGCTTGAGAGTAACAGAGAAATTGAAAAGCCTCTTAATCTATAGAAATCATCGCCATCGATTACTTTGACCGTAACAAAATTTCATTGAACCATTAAGTGGAACAATGTTCGCGGAATATCGTACAAGAAAAACAATTGAATTTACCAGGAACACACTTGTTAATTGTTGGACAATCTTTCATCAATGACATAATGTAATGCTGCATTGGAAGGAGATTACTCGTTTTCGAGCGATTAATTAATTAAATGGAAATGGTTGACGGTGTTCGTCGAAGAGCATACACATTCGTATCGTGAATTTTGTATATGACAAGGGAAAATATCGAGCTGGATAGTAACGATCAAATGAGAGATCAGGGAAAAGCGAAACGTGGCATGATTCTGCGAAATCAGTATTGAGTCTTCATATTTGTGATACTTCTGTTGAAATCTCTCGTGTCGTCAGTTAATAGAAGCACACATCCTGTTGTGTTACAATAACATTTAATTTAGATTGAAAATGATTCGGATAAATAATTGGAATTTGGCAACAAATTTAGATAATTTGTAATTTTAGAATTGTGATTCTGAATTATTGCATACAGAAAAATTTCAATGGAGTGTAGGATTTTACACAAAAATCCAGATCAATAGAATTTTTATATGAGAAATATTTTAATATACATAATTGTAAGTCTTTTAAAACATTAATTGTAAGTTGTAATTGTAAATTTAAATAATTCTAAGTTAAAAATAAATGCATTAGAAGTTTATACGATTTTTAAATTTCAATAGAACAATAAAAAGCATTTTTAATAAAAATTAAAAATAGATATTATAAATTTTCTGTAAATCACTCAATTGATAATTTAATTTTATAATATAAGATGTAATATTAAATCAAAAGGTGATCACACCTTTTAATAATTTTTATGTGTGATAGAACATACCCTTTGACAAATCAATTGTAACACCACCGACAAATAGATTACTCAGCCGCGATTACTGTTTCATTAGGCCCAACGCCACATTTGCTTAGGAGAGTTTGTCTGACCATTCCCTGACCAAAGTCACTTTCTTTGCGGTCCGATCTTGATCCGAAAATCTTTGATCCGTGAAATCACACGAGAATCGAAGTGCAAGTGTAATACCCTAATCTACTTTGTTCTTCTCATTCAGAAATTCTTATTTATGTTTAATATTAACATATTTGCTACTAACAATCACATTATATATTTAAAATAAAAATAAAAAAACGAACTTGTCATAATCTAAAAAATAGTATAATATCTAAACGATGTACATGATTACTATTTTATATTATTTTACAAAAAAGAAGAAAGATTTTTCATGATGAACGAATTTTCAATTGCAAGTGTGAGTAGCTAATGTGTTAATATTTTTAAAAGTATTTAAAAACAAACAATTTTTTTCCTAATGAAGATTCTATTGATAATATTATTTTTAAAAGGCCCTATTTTTGAAAAACAAGCAGATCAATTAATTTTTCCTCTCGCCCTATGACATCATGGAGTATTTTTCTTAATGAAAATCACACCTATGATACTTTATCTTCGATCTCATGCTAATGTACACATATACACAAGTTTCATCACTTACCGTCCCTATTCATGTTGGCTTCGAAACACTTAGCAAGACGGCATGCACGGCATTGATTCCTATGCGTCTTGTCAATTGGGCAGCGCCCTTTCATAGAGCCCTCGGCCTTGCAAATGTACTCTCGATTGTGGTGGATGCTCCTCTTGAAGAATCCTGAACAACCTGTTAATCAGACAAGTTCTTATTACGCGATTAGAAGTAAATTGATCGCCTCAAAGTGTACCCGACGGACAGGTCCCGATAAAACGATTGCTTCTCGAAGGAACTAATTGGAAGATTGAATTTATCGAATAACAAAAGCGAACTGTAATCAACGAATCTGTTGTTCATTATTATGGAATGTTTTTTTTTATTTGAAATAATTATTCCGGAAAAGATTAAAGTACAGAAGAGCTTAATAATTACCGTCGCAACTGTAGATGCCGTAGTGTTTTCCAGAGCTACGGTCACCGCATACGTTACACGGTATATCAAGTAATCTGTCCCCTACAACAGAAATTGACTTGATGATTAGTCAATCGAGCAGTGAAAATGAAAAGACTTATGAATTATTGTTTCTGTTTTTTTTAAAAACCAAACATTTCATAAAGTGAGATTTTGTGTGACTAGAAACTCTACTTCTTCTATTTTAATTGAACTATAAGTTTTAGAATTGTGATTTTATAAATTGAATAGCAACTTGGTAATAATATAATATAAATTTGTATAACATCTATGAATATTGTATTTTGTTATGCTATAAAATGAAATTAAAAAATGCTAAATTGAAGAAAAAATCAACGTCATATAATAAATTGCTACTAAATTAATTTATATCTTGTTTCTAAAAAATGGTGGTAATAGGAATTACATTTTCAATAATCAAATAAATAGAGATTTCTCAGTGGGAGAAATTAGAATAACAAAACAGATTCGTTGATTACGTTTGTTGGTAAGATTGCTCTATGCGTCTGACTTTATACGGTTGTTACTACTTAATTACTACGGAATCTTATTAAGGTTCCATTGCGGCCATTTTTAACACGTTAACTGCCACAGTGAAAATGAATATTTGCAATCAGTTTTAACTTATTATTATTTACAGTATGGTGCAATATGGATAATTAAAAATATTAAAAATTAATTTTGCATGTAACATTATTACTCTTTTCACCCTACATTTCCAGTGTAATTCTAATCCTTTTTTATTTGTTAATTGTTACTTGATTTTATAAAATGTGAAGTGCCATTCACCAGTGACCCATATGGCAATTAACGTGTTAATTAATAATGAGTGAAAGAAATTAAAAGTGTCATTGTTCTAACATCATATTCATCATTATTCAAAGTACTCTATTTTTCATAAAACCTAAGGTTCTACTAATTGATGAAATAAAATTTAAATAGAACACTAAATCAGTTATTATAATTACTATAACAAAATTCGTTAAAAATGAAATTTTTAATTTGTCCATAGAACAAAGGGACGAATACCCCATTAATCCACCGTGAAAAGTACCATCGATACGGGAGAATTTAAAACCGTGAAAAGCTGGCGGAAAACGGAGTGCGTTTAAGAAAGCGTGGCGGACCGCAAGGAGAGCTCGGGCGTTAATCTGTTCTCTCCCTTTTCGAAGGAACCCTAATCGTCCTAATGATCCGCGGCAAGAAAAACACGGCCATGCCTAAGCCAACCAAAGCTTCCATTTCTGGCCTGGGGAACCAACCACCTTCTTCTCACACCAGAAACCTACCAAACCTAACCCGATCAGACGAGTTACTTCAACCCCAACAGATTACCTCCTTCGACGTTTACACTTCCACGGTGTCTTATATCTTATACGTCTATTACATATAAATGACTTCAATAGCAAAATCCTTTGAGTTTTATATTTGTGCTTGAAATTAGCCGAATTTGGTCGGATAGGGAGGGTGTAGTTAACCCTTTCATGGTTGAAATTAAATTAAACGATTTTCATTAAGATTTTAAAATAAAGTGGGATATATAGGTAATCTAGATAATTACTAGTATTATAAATACTCTGAATCTAATAATTACTATAACACGAAAAAGTAGATATATTTGCTGAAACAAGAATTATTTCCTCGTTATAATATAATTAAATATAATCATTGCATCAATTAACACTGAAATTTATCCTATTAACCGGAAGCTAAACACTTCGATCATACATAATATCTAATTCCATAAAATTGATCTCACAGGTGGTATCACCAAAAAGAAAAAAATCCATTCCAAACCCGTCACATAACCGACGAACGGATCGCACATAAAAAATAATCAACTTCTTCTAAACATACAAAACGAAAATCCTCTAAAAACAAAGCCATTTAAACGCGCACGGAGAACGAGGCAAGCGTCAACAAGCTAAAACTCGAACCAATAGTGTCACCAGATTTGCAAGCTCCAAAAACCGTCAAAAAACTAAGTCAAATCATGAATACAATTAATAAAAAAAAAAAGAAAAAAAAAAGAAAAGAAAAACAAAAGAAAGATACACGTGTGTCACTGTATACTCAGCACCCCATGCCCAAAGGGGGTTGCAAATCACTCCTATGTACCACTGGCAAGAAAAGCAAGAGGCACGCCTTATCGAACTGACCCATCCTTCGCGACTGACCAAAGTCGACCATCCCCAGATGGGCAACCGGACTGGAGGTCGTTCGGACACAACGCCGAGAGAGTCGCGCGAAGTCTCGAAGCGTTCTCCGTGACGAGGTGGCTTCGAGCCTCGGCGTACCTACTCATCTCGTCGGGAAGGGCGTACCCGCGATCGCATTCGTGTTGGTAGCAATGTCAGTGTTAGCACTGTGCGTCTGCCACCGGTGTACGCACATATACGGGCTGCTGCCCGATTGGCTGTCGGAGTTACCTATCTCCCCCTGACCGTAGCCATACTAGCTGGAATCACGGGTCGTTCTTCAACACGCTCGACGTGCTTCCAAGAGAGGGTGGGTTGACGGGCTGTGGGGGCGATGCCTAACACACGTACAGAACTTCCTAAACGGCCGCGAGTCGGCGTAGATATGACGTCGACCTGTGAATAGTGATGGCTTTGATCCTTTTATGCCACCAGTATTCCTAAACTTATATAAGACCTAAATTAATTTCAGGAATTATCTTGAAATTTTCTAAGAACCTACCTTTTTTTATGGATCATTGAATATGATCTCAAGTTACAGAGGGATAAAAGGGGTACTCTGCTCATTTCACCTGACATGGAACACACTTTCCAAGTATTAATGGTTAATATTTTGAACTAACTTACTTAACCTCCTTTCGTTTTCTTTATCACCCGCTCTCATAATCTGGTGGGCCTAGCGATACCCACATTACTACCCCTAAACAATACTTTATCCCAGCACAGTCTATTTAAAAATGTCAAGACTACCTTAGAAATAACACTAAATCACTACTATAATGCTTATAAAAATATGTATAAAATGAATAGCCACATAGTAATACCTTGAACAGTCGATTTGTTCCATTTGCTGGATCACGAAGGGAACAGGTTCATAGCCATCGCTAGGTACGGCCTCAGTCAGGCTATTGCACGATGTACACCACTTCTTCGATGTGGCTGGTACGTTGGCCTAAAAGAGTTGGGTAACATAGATGAAGAGGGGTCAGAGGAAGGTGACAGCAGGAGGATAGGTGGGGAATTCCAACGGGCGACTAGACGGCCCGGGGACTTGCTGGCCGAGTGGCTGACGTGACTATAGTGGGGTAGTGCTAGTTAGCCACGGGGGCGGCTCCGAAGGCCACGTTGTCAGATGAACGTTACCACTGTGTCATTGGTCGACTCCACCCCTCAAACGACACAGGGGTGCAGATGTATGTAGCAAGGGGTGATGGGCGTATCCAGCACGCCCATTCGTCGACGGAGAACAGGCAGGATTTCAACGACCAACCGGTGCCTCGAGATTCTGCTGACGTCGTAGGCGGCTACTATGACTGCAATGCTATTTGCCGGTGAGATGTTACGCCGTTTCTTCCCGGAGGTAGGGTGGAAATCGACATGATGGAGCGAGCTGCAGCCTGCAAGAAAGAAGGGATGGTAAATGTCAATGCAAAGATACGAGGCGAGAGACATTCTCTCAATTCCCTGAGCTTTGAGATGAACATTGCTTCGAATTCGGGAAGCAGCTAAGAGAAAGCTGATGTAGACATTTCCATTTTCCCTTTTTCCGTTGTTTCGTAGCTACTCTAAATGTATGACGCTTGGTACATACACCATTTTCACTAATTTTTGTATAATGTAAATGTTAGTAATAAAATTGAACATATTTATCTGATAACTCTGTTTTTATATGGTAGTTAATATTGAAGAGGATGCTTTTGATGTACGTTTTCCCTTATGTATTTCCAAGTTATCCCATTAATTTGATGTACTTAGATAGGATTTTGTTAATTTATTAATAATAAAGATAATAAGTATGGAAGGATATTTATGAACAAGGAGAAAATGTTTAATTAATAATAAATAGTAACTCTGAAGGATACTTTGGTTTCTCATGAAACAACCTTCCTAAGATATAGGAATGTTGTAGATGAGATTATAGCATAAAATTTTGATATTAATTAAATAAATTATTTCAAACTTTAATGAATGCTATAATAATAATTAATTTGCAATAAATGATCATCTGTTGAAAACATTTTATCGTTTTTGTTATCATGGTTACTCTTTTTACACACAGAGGGTGTTAATAGTAAATTCTATTTGTACCGCGATATATTTTACGAAAACTTAATTAATGATATTTGTTTTAATTTAAAATATCAAATAGCAGCAATGTGAAATATTCTAATAAATGTATAAAATTATTTAATTTAAATTGTCTTTATTGCACCCATAAATATTTCCCATTCATTTGAGGTTAGTTCAGAAGCTAACCTTTATGCCACAACAGTTGTATATATTACAAATGTATATTAAAACGTAGAATAAAAATATATTACTTGCAAGTGTTATACTTGTACATCTTTTTCATCAAAATGATTACGCGAATATTTCAAAGAACCATATTAAACATCGAATACAGTAATAGCATTTTCGTTAGATACTTTCATCACTCTCATAATGCCTCAATCCATGAAAGCATTTTTTTGAAAAGTAAAACATTGGGGTATTTTTTAAATGAGGATAATTTTCCCAAAAAACAAAATATTTCTTTACATCAATCTATGTATAACAATGTTTCTAAAGGTCCACTTTTATGTAAAAGCACTCCAATACTAGCCAGTACAATTCCTATGAAACAGAGTTTTATAACAAATAGCGTAAGACATTATTCAAATACAGCCCCTGCAATTATAAATCAAACTATGACATACAACAATGGTATGTGGAAAGCTATTTCTGAAAGTTTACCTGTGGAATGTCTTACCAATGTGTTAAAGATAATGCATGATCAAACTGGTTTACCATGGTGGGCAACTATTGTGCTTACAACAATTATAATGAGAATGTTTATAAATCTACCACTAACTATACATGATGTGAGTATTGCTGTTGCTCTATTAAATTTACTATAATGACCTTAACAAAATACTTATATTTTATAACTGATTATTATTCCAGTATCAAATTAAAGCTAAGATAGAAAACATAAAGAATGAATTAGAAGAAACTGCAAAAAAATTGAAAATGGAAGTACGAATGAATATGATGAATTCTGAATGGACACCAGTACAAGCAAAAGCTGCTTTCATGCGTGCTGTATGTATATTTTGCACATTTATGTTATATTAATAGAAGTACTAAATACTATTTTTTGTAATAGATACATGAGGAGCGTACTTTTTTGTATCAAAGGGACAACTGTCACCCACTTAAGAGTGTTGTGATGATAATACTGCAAGCACCAGTATGGATAAGTTTTTCCTTTGCTTTAAGAAATATATGTTATATGTTACCTGACAGGGATGAAGGTAAGTAAAGTATTTTTTTATTTTGATTCATTTAAATTGAAATCAGTACTACATTAAACTTATCAAATATTTTACATAGCTGCTTATCAGACCTATCTTCAATTTATTAGTGGTGGTTTTGGATGGATAACAGACCTTACGGCCGGAGATCCTACATTTATATTACCTGTAATTTTTGGGATATCTGGTTTAGCCCTTATAGAAGTATGTACAAGAATATTTAATTTTCTCAATTCAAGAGAAGAATATCTTTATGGGAAAATAATATGTATTTTTCAGATGAACCAGATGTTACACAAGGAACATGAGACAAAATTTGCAAGATATTACAGAAACTTCCTAAGGGTACTTACTGTTTTCTTTATGAGTATCGCGGCGTACTTACCATCAGTAAGTTATACATAAATTATAATAAATTTGAAATAATTTATTCATTGTTATTCTCACTTTAATAAAACAAATATTTCAGTGTTTGACTTTGTTCTGGACCACCCACAATTGCCTTGCAGTGCTACAAACTCTTCTTCTAATGTCTCCAAAGATTCGTCGACTAGGAAGAATACCTAAAACCGAATCAGAGTATCCACATCCGTATTCAGAATTGTATAAAAGTCTGAAACTGAAAGTTGGTTTAAAATAAAACTGAATTATGGTAAAATGAAAAATCTATTTCTTATGTTCGATTCAAAAAACAAATAATAACGTTATGAAGAATGATCGATAGAGTAAGCAAATTAATGTACAAAATATCAAATGTGATTTTGTTTTAAGATCTCCTTCCCAGAATTAATATAATGCTGCTTGCACTTTTGATCTTGCTCGTTCTATGGTACTAAGGTCGTAAAAAATGTCACCTTGCACAACATGTCGACGATAAAAACAGGAAGGAGACACCGAAAAAATAATCCGTTTCCAGATAGCAGATTAAATCATGTTCCTTATTTATGCGCAGAACATGCAATATATATTAAATCCATTTCATTAGCAAAGAAGATACTCGAGATACGAGGAACGGATTTGCAGAGGAAGCCATGGCCAGCATGAAGTTCTCTACAATTTTGTTATGTGTGATTATTTGCATCGGTTTCTTCTGTGTAACTCACGTATGTACATTCACCACTCATTTCCATTTAATTTTTCTATAATTTTGATTCATAAAATGTATTATTTTTGAGATAAAATTTTACTTCATTTGGAAAACTATTAGCTGTAATAGTGCTAATGAAAATTGGGCAGGCAATGAAAATTTGATCGAAGCAATCATTATCGAGCGAAGAGATTAAAATTACATTTTTATCATTTTTAGGGAGAGGTCCTTCCTTATCCAGGTGACTGCACGAAGTACCAGCACTGCGACAACAGTGGATGTTTCATTCTAAGTTGTGGCACTGGAACAGAATTTAATCCAAACACCCTCACCTGTGACTATCCCCTGGCAAATCGTGAAAACTGTATGAATCGTGGATAAATCGGCCAATTAAGTCTTCGTACTCTTATAGTGTAAATTTAATCGGTTTTAAGAAGAAAACCATGAACTAAGTACATTTTTTTTCCTTGTACATTTCATTATGGATGATGTGGAGTAATTGAATAAAATTTTTTTTGAACTATTACTCATCTGTTCATTAAGTGTCAAACATTGTGAAGAATTCTTTTATTAAATTCATATTACGATGAATTTGAAGTCTGCACCATTGCTGTTCCCATAATGATAATTAACAATTAATTTACAATTAATTTACTTAAGCATCACGTCTAATGGTTTAAGTATGCAAAATTCTAAAGACGATCTTTGCCCGGGTGTCAGCCAGATAATCGGTAGCAGTTCATTTGATAGAATTTTAATAAATCGTTTCTGTTCATTCATCGAAGCGTGGCTTCTACGCTGACAATTCGTACCGTGATAATTCGATTACTATTATGGAGCATGATAAAAATACATAAGAACAATGCAAGCCTTTTGTATGCGAGAGGATGAAGAGATTGTTGATCTTTTGCTGTTTGATTGTATTCATTGCTCACAGAGACAAAGTAAGTATAAAGAGATTTTTTTTTTAAATAAGCCCTCAGTTTAATTTATAATTAATTTGGATAAGTTAGAATTTTTGATAATTTACAATTTGTTAAGATATTTAAGAAAATCTATTCATATCTTGTATAATGAGAATCTGTTTAAATTCGAATTATTGTTTAATTATTATTAGAAATTGAATGAAAAAATTGTCATGTCTTTGAATATTTGTATTATTTAACAATGCAACTGCAATCATTAATTAACGTTATCTATTCGTTAAGAAGTCAGATTTCAAGGCTCCACGATTTTTCTAATAATCAGAATGAAAATAAAATTATCATTCACAAGAATCCCCTATCGTGTGTGCGTAATATACTGATGCTATTAAGCAATAATCTTCATCTGTTTCCTCTACTATGGACCTTCTGCATCAGCAAGTTTATTTACTTCGTTATAATTCTATTTTCAAAAATGCTATTTTTAAAAGTACTATTTCGAAGAAAATTCCTTTATCGTTGTTTATCTACATTGCATCCTTCAATGTTTACCAAATTAATTTGGAACCGAAGAAAAATTATTTTTCAGCTAATTGCCAATTCCTAATTCCTCCTGTACCTAAACAAGGCACAAAAATGCAATAATTACACATTTTATATTATAAACTTATCTTCATAAACCCCAATTCTCCTACCCAGTGCAATCTGTACACCCACCTGGTTCTCACAGGAGTTCCATATCCAGGGGAACCCTCAAAATACCTACTATGGTACCTAATATGGTACCTGAGAAGAAAGAATGTTAAAAAACGAAACACATATTCCATTATTATTCGATTGCTCCTAAAAAACAAGAAGATTGAAGATGAACCAAACCCAAGGGAACATCAACTGCGATCACCCTTGACCCACCTGTGCACCCACCTGTGCACCCACTTCACGAAAATGTATCCTAACGAGAAAATAAAAATGATTAAATCACCAGTCTGTGTTTGCTTTCCATATTTCCTCTCCTATCCGAAGGCGATGTTTGCAGCCGCGTAGTCGGCCTCTTTATCAGCCCTCGTGCCTCTGATTGTTGTCAACGAGGGCCAATTTGTCCTCCCGGTAGTCAATTGGCAAACAGTTCTGTGTGCACTAGCTCGATTGTTGTGTTGACAAAGCATGCTTCCCTCTCTGTCTTTCTAACGCAATCAAATTCCTACAAGTATCTCGTCATCTTTATTGCACTCATTGAAATACCGATCTTTCAGCTCGCTTCTTCTCGTAATCTTTCTGCTCGACCCTCGACCTCCGCGACTGATAACCCTTTCTTTTCCTCGAAGCAACGCATGTTTTCTTTAAGGAATACCAGCTATCTGGCGTTTCTGGGTAACGCGGAGCCGATCGCGATCGGACTCGGTTTTACAGGGAAAACGAGAACAGTGCGTCGCGATGCTTGCAGTACCGTCGAGGCGTCAAGGATGATGTTGCGACGCGATCGTTTCTTCGTCGTTCTTGCTCTTCTCTGTGCCGTCGCTGGTTTCGTTCACGCGGTACGTGCTCCTATTTGATGTCTGCTTGATCGCTTCATGAATAGGTGGTTCCACGGGTTGGTCCCTGAAATGGATAGAACCTGAATTAGTTATACTATTTCACGAACAAACATTGCTCCAGCAATATTTCCTTTTATTGCTTTTTTTTGACATAAGAATTTTTGTCTATTAAGCTTTTGAAAGGACTGATTTTTTAAAAATTATTTTTAGAAAGGTTGTATTGAAGTTTACTGTTAGAAAAGGTGGTGGAAAAGAAATGCTTTAATTTAAAGTTGTGAATTATATTTTGTGATGCTTAGTTGTTAAATTTTTTCGATTTGAATACAAAGTTTTTAATGTATTACAAATTTGCAAAAAAATAAAATATAATTAACATTTAAACGTTTTATGTAGTTTTTATTTTGACCGAGTGGTACGGTAGGAAAAAAAAATCTTATTAATATGTATCAATGAGATAACAGCTGATAAGATGGATGATAAAGGCGAGGAATGTGTACTGCAACAATTATAAAACATAAGAATGATGTAACGTGGAACGTTTCTAATTGTGCTTTTTAGTGACGATTCAGTTTTAAAATACAGATGTTCGTTTGTTGGTAAATTGTAATAAATTAAATTGAAATATACGTGTAATGAGTTATGTTCTGTAATAATGTTCGATTTCGCGCAATGCTGTTTGCAGTGTCATTGTTCGTTTTAGTATTCGAAATTAGTGTACGAGATGTTTGATACTGTGTTCTTAGAAAATAATAATCAAACCTACCGTACTATTTTATTTAAAGTGCATCTATTTTTAACTACGTGAGATGTAAAATAGTTTAATAATTTAATGACATATGTGTCTGCAGTGAAACATAATTCATAAAAATAGTTAATTCATTCTACCTCAACCATGCATAGCAAATTTTATACCTACTAGAACATTATAGAAATTGGAATTTAAAATTGATATTTTGTTTTGCTTTTAATTATTTGTTCTTATACTTGCACGTAGATCTACGATCCCAAAGAAGCGACAACAAAGCGACCAAAACGACGAGAACAAGTTCTCCCATGGTATTCTTCAGATAAAGATGACATTGATTCTAACGAAGAATCCGATCCATCGCGTTCTCCAAAATGGCAACTGGATCCAGATGATCCGATACCAAGGGAACCTTTCCTCGTAGATACTGGGACGAAAACCTGGAGTCCCTGGAAAAAGAATCCTGGAAGTGAAATTGAACAGAGAACCGAGCTTAGTAGTGACCGACAAACTCCAACGAATTTCGAACAAAATACAGATTATCCCTTGGAATACAGTCAATTTGAACAACAAGAGAACCAAAGGTTCCCTTCAAAACCGAGTGATTCTCATAAGCAGGAGGAAAAATGGAAAAAGCAGAAAATTCCTGAGGGAAAAGATTCGCAGTCGAAAATAAAGAATGATCAGGAATTTTATGAAGGAATACCTCCAGATAGCACGGTAATATAACTTTCCTTTTTTGTAGAAAATGGAAAATTGTAAAATTTCTTTTTGCTGTAAAGAGTGTAAAAAGTAATATTATTTAATTTAAAATAAGTGTAAATTGAAGCATCGATCATACAAAATTATTAGTTAGAATTTTAAATAAATAAAATAGAAATAGTATCAAAAAAATTATAAGAAAATTTACTTAAATTATTGTGCTCTATCAGTTTTTTATCTTTTCAAAAATAAATTTCTACTATGGAATATTCGTTCACTTGAAATTAGTTGTAGAATATTTAGATTTTCTGTTTATTAAGAAATATGTATTAATATTGCTGTACTTACCACTTTCATTTTTCCAGAAACCTCGAAAAGAAGAAATTCTCCTCGCACCGAAACCAAAATCCATAGTGGCCCGATATGATTCCAAAACTGGTATCCAGTGTCCAGATTTCGACTCGTCTGGCCAATTCGTATATCCTCCAGATTGCAAGTTCTTCGTGAACTGCTGGAAAGGCAGAGCTTTCGTCCAGCCTTGTGCTCCTGGTACCCTTTTCAATCCAGACACTTTGGAATGCGATTTTCCACACAAAGTCAAGTGTTATGGAGGAGAAGTGGCTGATTTTCCATCAAACGACCATTTGGAGTCATCAGGGAAACAGGAACCATTGTCATCAGGTGGTGGACATGGCCATCTGAAAAATGAACGATTACAAGTTAGTTTAAAAATAATTAGGTTTCGTTTCTTTATTTTTCATGTTAGATTATTATAATACGACTTGGTTAATAATAGGTAGATTTAGAGATTTGTATTTTTCTTTAATGATATTAAGCTTTTATTACAGGAACCACGATGTCCACCTTATTTAACAGGGATGCTTCCCCATCCCTCGAATTGCACGAAATATTTGCAATGTGCCCATGGTGGAACGTATATCAGGGATTGTGGCCCTGGCACTGTCTTTAATCCTGCTATCAGCGTTTGCGATTGGCCTCGCAACGTAAAAGGTTGCGAAGGTAATGAAAATTAAGCATTTAATGAGACTCCATTAATTTAGAATTAAATTATAATAAAAATTTTAATTTATTATTCTATATCATTAACGTAGCATAGGATATAATATCTTAGTATTTCTAAACAGTAAAAAATGTTACATCAGTAATACTAAAATTTCTATTCCACCAGATGCTTTAATACCTAAAGAAGAAAACACAACGCCATGGCATCCTCCCGAATACGAAGATTACGAATATAAAAAACCAGGATACAACCAAAAGTCGCCAATAAATCAGATTAAATGTCCCCCGGGTTATACGGGATATTTGCCTCATCCGGAAACATGCAAGAAGTTCCTCCAATGTGACCATGGAGGAACTTTCATCATGGATTGTGGCCCTGGAACGGCATTCAACCCTGCGATATCCGTTTGTGATTGGCCCTATAATGTACCTAGCTGTAATGAAAGTAATTAACCAACACGTACTTCAATTCAATTAAAATTTATCAAAATATCATAGAAGAACTAATAATATTTTGCATAGATAAACCAATTGGTACAACAACAAATCCACCTTGGGCCTCTCAAAGTCATCCAGGATCAAGACCACCTTGGATGCACCCAGGTACCCCGTCACCTGGACTCCCAACTTATCCCATGTCAACCATAGCTCCTCCAGAAACTGACTGGGAATCATTAAGACCAACCTCGAGACCAAGCTGGAAGCCCAGCACATGGACGACTCCAAAACCTTCAGGAACAGACTGGGATTCTCTGAGACCTACTTGGATACCAAGCTTGAAACCATCTACCTGGACCACTCCCACACCACCTTATTCTCACGGTCGTCATCATGGCACTCATGGACACAACGATGGTAGCTTGCACTATGCAGACAATGACGAACATACACACAAGGAACACGATCGTTGGGGTCAATCAACACTTCCAAGTTATCCACAATGGCACCATAATCATGGAACCAATGATCAGAGTGGACACCATCACCATCATCACGAACATCATTATTATTCACACAATCCAACTTATGATCCCAATATAAATACTGAAACTCAGCAACCTTCTCCTCCATATCCCCAAAGACCCAGTCCAGAAACTCCTCAAGGAAACTGGCACCCTACTTCAGGGTATCATCATGATCATCATCATCATCATCATAGACCTTATTACCATGATGGATCTGGAGAAACTGATCAGCAAACTGAAGTTCCTGTTGATTCTAATAGAGGGGATCGAAGAGAAGATTCTGCTTCACAGTATCCCCATGACCATCGTCATCATGGACCTTACTACCATGATGGGTCTGGAGAAACTGATCAGCAAACTCAAGTTCCTTTTGGTCAGAGACAGGATCCTACTGGAAGATTTGATTATTCGAATACTGGAAGTAACGTACCTGGGAATAGGAGAAATGGTCAGGAGTTCACTCCTAATAGACAGGAATATGGAAGGACGAATCCTGGGTTCTCGCACCCAGTGCCTCCACCTGGACAGAATATTTATGTGGATAGTAATTACCAGTTGCCTGACAATGAGTCGAATTTAAATACTCAGGTGATGCAAAATGAAACGAATTGGACAAAACCTACTCCGACAGGAAGTAGACTGATTCCTAGCAGCTGGAGCCAGTTGGGTCCAGGACAACCGCAGATGCCTTCGTCATCCAATCGACGATGGGATCAAGGTGATTTTTAACTTTATTTTTCTGTTTATTATATGGATCATAGATTGATTACTAATAATATACATGGTGGTATATTAAAAATGGGTTAATACTTTTAACAAAATTTATTAAAAAAAGGTGGATAGCTTGATAATTGGGTTCAAACCTTTTGTATTAAAAAGAAAAAAAGTTTGAAAACAAAAAATTTTAATTTGATTCCGAAATATTGGAATATTATATTTTTTAAATAATATACACATAGTATTTTTACCATTTTGTAGAATCGTATTTTATTTATTATTATTTCTTTTATAAGTGAATATATTGAATTTTAGCTATTTTCCTTCCATTTGCATATTTGTTCTGCATTTTGATTTTTGCCTGCAAAGCATGTTGGGTCGATTTAAAATATGTGCTTTGTGCAATTTTTTAAAAAGTGCATGAAGGTTGGTTTGTTGCATTGTGGATTAAAAAGGGACTTTAAATCTTAGAATCGTAAGAAACATCCACAACTATAAGTAAAAGTAATTAGTAAATTGAGTTAATTACTCTAAGAAAAAGCTGATACTTATTTTGGATCAATGAAGATGCAGATATCCTGTTAATTAATTAATTACAAAAAGGTAATACGATTATTTTAATATTTTATAATTTCTGAATGAGACTGTTCAGGTAACATTGTTCTGCTGGATGTTTCCTTAGTTTTTATGAACTTAATAGCTCCAAACTGATAAGTATAATAAGTATTAGATATCAGTTATAGTTTGGTCTCTTTTAGGTGTTGCTAACGAAGACGACAAAGGGGGAAATAGAACTAATATTAATCTGAATACGACTGACAGAGCAGTGGATACGAAGTTAAATCTATGGCCTTTAAAACCAAATATGTTGGAACATAATAAGGGACAACACCGACCAGGTGCGTAAACGTGACATACTTTAATAAGTTTAAAGCCTGTGTCAAGCATCTCTTCAATTTCCACTTTTTAAGTGACATTTGTATATATATTTTATAATAACAGTTACTAAAGATACAATTATTTAATATTTCAATTTATTATGTTACCTTATCCAGTCACTAATGACTCTTACGATAATTGACGTGTTAATTACAAAGTGAAATTTTGTAATTTGGTAATCCTGCAGGTACACTGAGTAGCTCAAAATTTAAATCAATTCAATTTGCTTTAAAATATAAACATAACATTTTATTTAATAAATTTTTTGCAGGTGTCAAAGGTGGTACATATAATTCATCAAAGCCTCTGTACCCAAGTAACATATACGTGGATATAAATGGTACAAGAGCTCACTTTATCACAAAAGAAATTGAAGTGAACCAGGGTCACTCAAAAATAAATACCTATAGACCAAACGACATCCCTCGTTCGAATGAATCTCGTAAAATTGATCAGAACATTTATATTGATTCTCAAACACCTATCTTCGATCAGATACCGTCATTGGCTCTTCAACCACCATATTACACGCCTGATAACAAATCGTCAATTTATAGACAGGGTCATAGGACTCCTAAACATTATCCGTTGAATACATCTTCTGGCTTTGGAGATTTAGATGGTTCTGGTAATATTTATTTTTAATAAATGTTCAGAGAAAAATTTAAGAATTTTAAATTAATATTATTGGAAATCTATTGCTTTTAATTTGTATTGAATTATATAAATAATTTTTGAATATTTATTGATTAGAAAGATAGATTTCCGTTTTCTCTAATTATTTCTTAATTTAATAATTGATAATTAATTTAACAGGTTCTGATTACCACCGTGTGGCCGTACCATCAGTCAATCTTCAGCCTCCACCCTACCCAATCAATCAATCATTAATTTTTCCATTTTTCGCAAATATTTCAAGGGTTGACATTTATTATCCAGCTGTGCCAGCTACAAATTTGCAACCACCGCCCAAGCCTCCTCGTTTAAATTCTACTTTTCCAATTGGATGGCAATATCCAATTTTACCATCGACAGAGTTTCAACCACCCCCTTATTCACCTCCAAATCGTTCCCTACATTTTCCAAATTTTACCTCACCGAATATTAATCAATACCCATCAATTACTACTTCTAAGCGTCCTGAGCAACCCTTAACAACTCCTGTAACACCAAGCAGGCAATATCCTACAGTTCCAATAAATAATTTCAAACCAACCAGTGGTCGTCCAGATTTGACTGATTCCATCGATAGTACCACTCAGACAAATTTTGAGGATGTAACAGTTCCTCTAAAAAGTGTCTCAAGAACTGGGAATAAAGTTTTTGCAACAATGGATCCAAATGTGCCTACTGTGTTCATCGAAGAGACAACAGATAATCCAAAAGATTTTAATTCTGATTATGATTACGATGTGGATATTTTAGTCGATAAAGAAATATGGAAGCCAGTATTGGTTTTTGATAATAATACTCAGACCACCACTGAATCTTCTGTGATCATGAAGATTAATAAGAAGAAAGTTGACGTAGATTTGTTCAATATCGAAGCTGCTCCATTTGAAAATGGTAAGTCTATGTTAATTATTGTTCGATTTCAGACATTTCTGTGAATTGCTACAATAGGAGGGTAAGTTCATTATTAATTTCTTGCATAATTAATTTGCTTTTGGCATGAAGTGCACTTGGAAGAAAGTATTAACATTGGGCTTGTAAACGATTTAAAAACTGCAATAACATACTCCTTGTTTATAATTTATCTTTTTCTATTAAATTTAATTTATTGTATGTGGAGTTTGATGAAGTGATATGGTATATATATTGAAATAATTTTCATGTGATGGAAATTTGACGAATTATGAATATTGTTTTTCAGAGGAACCACCATTTCCATCTTATTACATACCACCAGTTGAACCATTGGATCACTCGAAAAAAGTTACTATACCAACACCAATTTCCGGTCAGGTGAGGATTGTTTATGATTATTTTTTAAAAATTTTATTCATATCCTGATATTTTATAATTAGGTGGTTCGACTTAGGGGTGGTTCAGGTCCACACGACGGCTATGTCGAAGTTCAAGGGATGAATCCTGGCTGGGGAATTGTTTGTGATTCGAGAAACAGCTGGAGTTTAAAAGAAGCACATGTTGTATGCAAACAACTCGGTTACGTCAGGTATTTCATATTTCTATAATTATACAATTTAAGTAATTTCAGTATTAGTAGAGAAATAAGAAATTAGAAAATATTTTTACTGTTTACAGAGGAGCTGAAATGGCATGGCAAGGAAGGAACAATCGAAATGGTGTGCCAACTTGGATCGCAGCAAACACTGTCTCGTGTCAAGGTGACGAGGCCAAGTTCCAATCATGCAAGTAAGGCACCATGATCATGAACCATGATTGGGATGATTCATAAACATAATAGTTTATTTAATCGATCAATAAAAACTCCTCTGACGTTAACGAGATTCTAAGTAAAGATTTCACATATCAATGATTCCGTTACAAGCTGCGATTCTTGGAAATACAATTCCGAATTAAGAAATTGAATTGCTCTTTAACGAAATGCATCTTTAACTTTGTATTCTATGAATCACAGTGCAATTATTAATTGCAAATGTTAGGTCTTACTGCGTTTACAATTTTCTGTTCGAACTACAATTATTGCAGTAGAAGACAATTAAATTTTGGAGTTTCTGCTAATTATGATTTATCAGACTAAAATTAGATTTATAATTAGGCAAATTATTTACCAGATGATATGATAAATCTACATATAATTATTTTAAGTTACTTTCGGTTATTAAAACTGCTCACGTATTTCTGGAAATATATACTAATTTTTAGCCTACTAATTGTACATAGCTAATATTCCTTTGATAATTACCAGATTCACACACGAACAAGAATGTCGAGTGGAAAGAGACGCAATAGGCGTGAGATGCGTGTTAAATCGTGTAGCTCATTGCCATAAGGACGAGCTACCATACGAAGGGAACTGTTATCACTTGGCGGATCCTGATAGCGGATTAAATCACGCTGAAGCGTTGAGTTACTGCAGCCAGAAACAGTCACGGCTTATCGACATCACCAGCCAGGCAGAAAACGATTTCATCTCCGAGTGGTTGGTGCAACAGCAACCGGAAGTTGGCTCGATTATGACTTCCGGCGTTGGTTTTACTACTCTGAATCGCACCCTCTGGCTGTGGGAGGATTCCTCTCGCGCGAAATTCAGGTGAAACAATTTTATTTTACAGAGATCTTACTTCCTTCTGTGTTAAAGTATTTAATTTTTTTATGGGATATATTGATTTTTATAAAACATTTACATGAATTTAATGTACGTAGATTTACCAAATGGTGGCCAGGTTGGATGGAAGATAAGAAGGTTCCTCCATTCGTGGGATCTCGTCCTCTCTGCTTGGTAATGAAGCGCAAATTTCAGTGTCACGAGAGGCCAGATTCAATTTGCGTTGCTGATTACTTCTTTTGGGACACAGAAGATTGTGCCTCGTCTTCTAAGGGTCATTCTTACATTTGCAAGAGACCTTACGACGACATTGGTAAGAGCCATTTAATTAACATCATTTTCTTATTAATTCTTAATAAGTATTAATTTCTATATTTCTACCTTTATCATTAGTTACATGGCATTCTTGTATTTTTGAATAATATTTCCAGGCTGCATTTACGGGAAAGGAAGTCAGTATGCAGGAAATGCAAATGTTACAGCAACAGGGAAAGAATGTCTTCCATGGAGTGATCCAAAAGTTGCTTATCCACTTACAGTAAACGTTAGTCTTCATATTATTTTATATTCTTCATTTTCTAGGTTCTTCCAGATTTTATTTAATAATGTTGATGTGATTTTGGTATTGCAGGTAGTCAATCGAGAGATCAGAGAAAAATTGAAAACTCACAATTATTGTAGAAATCCAAATCCGAATAGGGAGTCTAGACCATGGTGTTTCACGGGGCCAGGTGGTGAAAAGGAATATTGTGATATTCCTCCTTGTGGAAATGTTGGTACGGTTTATAACAAATTTTATTATACAATAATAATATTACTTTTATGGTAGAAATTTACAAAGTAATTAGGAGAATTGGTAATTAAGGTGTAGATTGCAAAAGACTAATGATACGATAATTTTGTTAGGTTCTCCAAAGTCTATTTTAACTGGTAAATGCAAACCTAAGCATTTCGAATGCGTGCCAGGAGAATGCATTCCATCACCATGGGTTTGCGATGGAGAAGAGGTACGTTATACTTTATAATTGATTACTTCGAAAATGTTAATAATAAAGAATAGAATAAATATTGATTAATTCATTTAAGGATTGTACAAATGGCGCAGATGAAAAGTCTTGCGTTTCGCACATGGATTTATTCCAAAAATACTCTAAACAGAAACTGGAAGGACACGATGTTCAAAAGTGGTTGAACACACCACTGAAAACTTGTGCACTTAGATGCAAGGAGGCTGATTTCACCTGTCGATCTTTCGCACATAAGTACATAAAATTCTTTTTATAAAAATTAATAAGAATAAAGTTGAGATCTAATTGATATTAAAAAAAATTAAAGCTTGTTAATGTTTCTAATTAAAAAAAATATATAATTATTTTCTTACCTAAGAAATTTAATCCATCCATTTTGTCTCTATTCAGGACGGCAGGAAATGTTTGTTTGTTGAGCGACAGCAACGTAGGAATGACTGGAGCACTGAAACCAAACAAAGAATACGATTACTATGAAATGAAAGAAAGAAGCATAAACTGCGAAGGAATGTTCGTCTGTGAAAATCGTAAATGTATAAACCAAACGAAAGTATGCAACGGGAAGAATGATTGCAACGATCGTAGCGATGAAAGTATTTGTACTGTAGAAAATTTGGATTATGACATTCGATTGGCTGGTTCAGAAAATAATCACGAAGGCAGAATTGAAGTGAAAAGTAAGTTAATTTAAAAATGATGAAAATGAAGAAGAAGTTAATTTTCTAATGTAACAATTTTCAGTCTTGGGCGTATGGGGTCAAGTTTGTGATGATGGTTTTGGAATGATTGATGCTGATGTGATTTGTAAAGAACTTGGCTTCGTTCTTGGTGCTTTGGAAGTTAGACCAGGAGGATTTTATGGCAATCTAGATCCACCGACAAGATTTATGGTTGATCAATTGAGATGTCGAGGAAACGAGACTACTCTACGTGAATGCGACTTTGATGGGTAATTTTAATTTAAAGAAACAATATAATAAAACGTTCAATTATTGATGAATTATCAATTTCTTTTACAGATGGGGTGTACACAATTGTGAACCAGAAGAAGCAGTGGGTGTTATTTGCAAGACAGCAGTGGACAGTTGTCAAGATGGTCATTGGAAATGTGACAATAGTCCAATGTGTATACCAACCGCATTCATATGTGACGAAGTTGTCGACTGTGCAGATGGTTCTGATGAGAATTCTGAACACTGTGACGTGAGTAATATAATGTAGATAATTAAAAGCTTGTACTAACAAAAAAATTATTAACCGAATTTTTATTCAACATAATACCCACTTTAAATTTTTACTTTTATGTCAATTGAAACTTTCTATTTGCTATCTTACAAAATTCTGATAATATTACTTCGAATTTTACTTAATTACGTTTTTTTCAATTATTCGATTATATTAAACTCGTGGTGTAAGTTATCAGCAACCCCAACAACCTCTAACCAAGAATAAAAATTTTGATACATAAAGATTTATCAAAAATAATTATTTCAAAAAATAGAGAAAAATACCCTGATGAAAACGCAATTGATTGCACGTCGATATCTCAATCCGTTCCCGAGATATAGCCTGTCAAAGTTTCCACTTAAGCAGGCCGAATTATGAATGGGAGTTGACCTACATTTTTTCCGCGAAGTGCGTACGCGCGTAGTACTACAAGTAAACAAACCGCGTGCGCCTGCGCGGTGCGAAAGTAGGTCACTGGACCAGGGTGGGAGTGAGAAGGAGATACTCAAACTGCGAAAAATTATGGTCTTCTTTAAACGACGATATCTCAGGAACCGGAAGTCGTATCGACATGAAACCAACGGCATTTTAAACGGGAAGTTCTCCCGCTTCTTATGGTGCGAATATTATATCCATAGCTCTACACACATAGAAGTAACAAGCAATTAAAAATATATCTCTTTTAATAGTAAAAAGCTAAAGTATTGCAGTACTTTCAAATGTAAAATTATTTTACAAAATTAATTTTACAATTATTTATGAATAATATGAGTTTCTAAATCAATATAATATAAAAATAGTCAAAGGTTTTGGTTTACTTGGTCTGCTTTTAATCCAAAGTTGATCATTTTAGGCGCCTTTTGAAATCCGTCTAGTAAACGGAAGTTCCCGTCTCGAGGGAAGGGTGGAGGTTCGTCATCATGGTATTTGGGGCACTGTTTGTGATGACGATTTCTCGAACGCAACAGCAGCAGTGATTTGCAGATCCTTAGGATATGGTGGACGAGCTATTGCTAAGAAAGATGGTTTCTTTGGACCAGGAGAGGGACCAATCTGGCTGGACGAAGTAAGTTTCACAAATATACTTCAATTAATGCTTTTTGCAATTTTAATTTTGTCGTACTTATTTACTTCTGTATTTTATAACTAATTCTTTCAGCATCAACTTTGTCTATGTTAAATTTTCTTGCGGTTTTCAATTAATAGCTGAATGATTTGATGTCCAATAGTGTACTATTTAAAATTATTATTTTAAATCTAATTTTTCTCCAAAATAAGGTTTACTGTTTGGGAAACGAGACACAGCTGTATCGTTGCGACCACAACCATTGGGGCCAGCATAATTGCAATCACGACGAGGACGCAGGTGTAATTTGTACACCTGGAGATATTGATGATTCCGAGGTAAATCGAAACATTCTTCTTCGACGAAGTGCACGAATTTCAAGACAATAGTCTAGTTCAATCAAATCCTTTCAAACAGATTGTAGTAATGGCTGTGTTACGAACAAATTGAGAATTAGGAAATTTTTTGCTTTAAGATAATAATCCACCTAATTAGTACTCTAATTCACATCTTAGAAAAGAATAGGTATATTTCTCTCTAATTTAAATTTTAAAAAGAGACAACTACAGAAATCTTTCGTTTCTGTAGGTAATACTAAAAGTAGAATTCTATATTTCTTGTTTTTTTAATATAGTGTAATTTTTTATAAGTTCTAACGATGTTCTGTACGAAGCTACTTAATCTTAGTTTTAAGAAATATTTAAAGGCACCAGGGCAGGACAATGAAAGTGCAAATATTATACAAACTACTTAACAGTTTAGTATGTTGTAATAGCAAGTTGTCTAGAGATTTTGTAAACGATCGATAGAATACTTATTAGTTCAATAAAAGATCAGATTGCACAACGATTATGAGGCTTGTTTACTTCATTCCTTGACCTCGATCATCCCCTTTACCCATCTAATCTACGAATGCAATTATAGAATCGATAATTGCAGTTATACTGGCAGACAGTGACGGATGTGCCAGAGACGAACATCAATGACATACTTCCTTCGCACTGCGGCAAACGACTGAAAGATTTCAATGAAGATGACGGTTTTATATTCGAAAAGGTGGTGCATGGTTCCATTGCACCTAAAGGCACCTATCCTTGGCAGGTAAACTAAATTTTTCTATACTTAATAGATAAGATAAGATGATTAGAACATTTTTTGTAACATTTATGACTTCTATAAATTTGAAAATTATTTATCAAGATTTTATAATCTACTCTGTTAAAATTTTTCAATCATTTGTTTCGGCCCTGGATGCAGCATTACTTTAAACATTTTTCCTTAAGAAGAAAAATAACTTTTCTGAATTAATTTTCTAGTTTGCTAAGATCTAAAAGAATTCATATTATAAGGTTGATAGATTTTGCATTGTATTCCTGTAAAATACCACAATTTTTGTTGCATTTGAAATTATCCATCAGTTTCTTCAATTTTTGAATAATTGACAGGCAAGTATTCGTGTTCGTGGACACAGCAGATCAAACCATTGGTGTGGTGCAGTGGTTCTCTCACCTTTGCATGTACTTACTGCTGCTCATTGCCTGCAAGGGTACAATAAAGGGACTTACTTCGTTCGAGCTGGGGATTACAACACAGAGGTAATTAAGATTGGAATAATAAATTAAAATAATGTGAATAGAAATTTTGCAAAGAATCTTTTATTATTACAATTAATATTATTAATAATGACGATGATAAATACCTGTTAGATAGATGAAGGGACAGAAGTTGAAGCCAATATCGAGGACTATTACATACACGAAAATTTTCGTAAAGGACATAGAATGAACAACGATATTGCTGTTGTGTTGTTAAAAGGACGAGGAATTCCTCTGGGCAAGAATATTATGCCAATTTGTTTACCATCCGAAAATACTGAGTATCCACCAGGTCTTAATTGCACCATCAGTGGATTTGGTAGTATTGAGACTGGAAAATCAGGTAAACTTTGTAATTTAAATAATTTCCAGCTATAAAGAAATATGATCTACCTGATGATTGATTTTAATTTTGTAGTTTTTTGTTTTTCTATTGAAGTCAAAAATATAATACATTGTTCTAATATTACAGCTCACTCCAAAGATCTAAGATATGGTTGGGTACCATTATTGGATCAATCAGTGTGTCGTGCCGAACACATTTATGGTGTTGGTGCAATTAGTGACGGAATGGTGTGTGCTGGATATCTTGAGGAGGGCATTGACACCTGTGATGGAGACTCTGGTGGACCTTTGGCATGTTATCATAATGGTAATGAAATATTAAGAAATTAACAATATGTTAACCCTTGGACCATGGAGACAGCTCTAATTTTAATTTAATTTCGTATTTCATATTATTTTCATTTTCTAAATTTTACACTGTCCTTCTAAAAATTATTCTTCTAACATATGAAACTCATTCGTTTAAAAAAGACTCCACTGTCCAAGGGTTAAATGAATAATATAAAATCGAAACGTAATGAATCGAATTTTTAAAACTCATTTTTCCATATAGGAGCTTTCACGTTATATGGAATTACCAGCTGGGGTCAACATTGTGGAAAAGCCAATAAACCTGGTGTATATGTTCGAGTTTCTCATTATCGTCGATGGATCGATCAGAAGATCAAAGAATCTCTTTCAGGAAGATAAAGCTTTGCAAAATCTCAGTACACTTTTACTGGAAAAATTAATTACTTAGTACATGTTCAGTGATAGCTCAATACTTAATCATCTGAAATCATATTTTTATAGATATATATAAGTTAACATAGAGAATCACCATTTCTATTTTTCTTTGAACTATTATTACGTATTCAAATAATATTAATTTAAAATATATTCTCTAAAATATGTTTGAAATTAGATAGAATATATGTAAATCATAAATACTGGATGCCTATAAAAAAAATACTATTCTACTTATACTTTTAAAAATAAAACTAAAGAATAGAAGAATGTTAGAAGAAATTATTAGAAGACAAGATCATATTCAAATAATAATCTTAATTACCTTAAATTCAATTCTACATGCTTTTGATGTTGTGATGCCACAAAGAACACGCCTTGAAGAAACGTCCATTAATCTGTAGTTTATTTCATAAGACATCATCGTTTCTACAATAATTGTAATTGCTGTCTTGTTGCTGTTACATGTTCGAGCCTATTTATGTACAATAGTCCCAACACATTCGATCGGATAGAAAACAAAAAAGCTGTAAAATGAAAATATTGATTCGCTTTTTATAATAAAATCGACATATGAACAATTAAAACGAAATGTTTCGGCGACCTACGTTATGAGATTGCAAAAATCCTATAACATTATCGTTGAAATCGTTGTATGTTTGTTTAATTAGGTTGATCGATCGACAGCTAAATTGACCCGTAAATAATTTCTCTTATTGACGTTGTTGTAACACTGGCAGTTACTCAGTTACATTTGTTTCTATTTGTTGAAACAAAAATTACAACCATGATTTCAATCTGAATTAAAAAATTCATGATCATGCAATTTTTATATTTACTTTCACACAAAAATTTTCCTTATCATGATTACCACAATAACATTCATTAATATTCTATAAAAAATTAATATTTCAATAGGACATTTTCAAAATTTTATATACTATTAAAACTTTCAAGTAAAAAATTGTATACTGACAAAAAAATTAGTCAGTGATAAAAATTTAATATAAAATGCTCTCAAAGTGCAAAACCAGATCTCAAAAGTGATACTTGATTAACGATGTAAATGGAATAATAATTAAAAAATATTTCCCATTTATTTTTCATTCGATTTGAAAAATTCAGTACCTTCTATAAATTGACAAATCCATGTTTTATTTTAAAAATTGATTAATTATAGAAACACTAATGGTAAAAAAGGAGAATCGAGCTGTCGATAGTTCAATCAGTTACACTGAATCCCTCATTTTTGTGATAAAATCACGATTTTAAAGAAATCATTGTTTATCTATTTCAATGATCATCGCCTCGTGATTTGTCGCAAAAATGAATGACGATCGTCACGAAACTATTCTGGATGGAATCGAATGAAAAAAACGAAATTTCACGCAAGTGAAATTGAACGAAAACACGCAAATCTACGTAACACTGTTCGTGCAATTTATAAACGTCTTACAATTAAGGGAATGTCGACCAAAAATACGCTTAACACAAAACTTAACATTAAGTCTAACTCGAATACTCTTAATTTAGGCATAATACAATCCGTGTTCTGGTCTGATTAAAAAACACGACACCTTCTCTTGTATCCTTATTTGATTAAATTTGAACAAAATATAAAATGAAATTACATTTTTTTATCATTCATTTGAATAAATTGCAACGATATTGCTTGAACATTGATTCATTTTATATGTTCGAATACGTATATCTTGCTTTATTATTTTAATTTAAATATCAGAAGTATGTTTTAAAAATAGTTTATAAATTGTATAGAAAATAAAAGGAATTTTATATTAAATGTATGCTATGCCAGCAATAAAAGTGCCTTAATTAAAGTGAAAAATTATTAAAAATTTAGAAAATTAATAATGGAAAAGTTAAATTATATAATTTACAGTTTCATTTTCGAATGAAAATATTTTCTTTAAAATACTAAAAAAAGAATAGATCGGTCCTGCCGTTTTTTCTTCAAAAATACTTTCAAATTAATTGTTTTGTACGAATCTTTCACTGGTAAAATAATTTTAAAAACAATAATAATCTTGAAAATAAATATTTTTAAAAAGTTTTGAAGATACTTTCTACCTAATGGGCTTGACAAACATCTTTGTCTTTCTAAGGTGAATTGTACCACGATTAGCAATATGATAATTAATAATTACAAAACAGGTGTTTGTGCTTTCGAATCATATCAGGAACACAGATTTCCGACTAACGATCTAGTGACTAGACAGTAAGCAAGTGTGTTCGTGTTCTCTCCCAATCAATCAATCAATCGAAAGTTCGTGTGTACTAGAAGGTATCGTTAGGCGATCTGAAATCGATCGATCGGCGATCAACGTGGCCGGTAATCCTTCTTTAAATTAGATTTACGGCCTATCCAACCTCTTACATCCTAGATAACGCATAGATATACGCAATATGTTTATGTGTCATATAATTATATATATATACACGACTTTCCTTTTTATGTACAGAATCGCAAACAATGCGGTGTGTTCATCTCCTGATGGAAATTTGAACGGGTGAAAAACACATTAAGTGGAATATTATTTCTCGAAATCGATTTCTTGATCGTTCACCTTCATCTTTCTTTTCTTTGCCATCTGTTTCTTTCTCGCTGTCGTGTTAGAAAAATCGTAGAAAAAAGCGATCGGTAGAAAATACAATTACGAAAAACCATCCTTGAGAAATCAATCAAGAAATCGAATGTTTTTTCGAGATTCTCCGACTTTTTGTGACTTTTCCTGTTTCAATTTCCTGTTTAGGGGAACCGTGTCGAACACGGCACTGGCAAGTTGATCATTTTTTTTTCTTTTATACGGTTACAGAACACTCTTATTTTTTTTCATTTTTATTTTCTTGCGACGCTTACACGGTAACACTCGTTTAACTATTACTGCTTACGTTCGTACTGTTAATCGTGTATGCATTATTGATAAACGTGCATGGATAATTGTCAACTTCGATATATTCTAACGTGAAAACATTTTCGGGACGATCGCGTCGCCGGACTTCTTTCCTGAATGATTTTCCTCGGGAGTTTGTGAAATGATGAACGTGCTTGGTGAATATAAGTTGTCGGTAGCGAATATTTACACGCGTGAGATGGTTGTATAAATAAGTTTCCCTAAGAGATGAAGTAGGCGTTAGATATTTATAGATGCACGCGAGCTAATGTATGACATAATGTAAATTTCATTAAATAAAAGTCACTTGGAAAATTATAATAATTGTGTATGGTGAAAGCGATTAATAATTTTAAATTTTTGCATGATCATTTATAACTTTATCTCTTTAATTTTTTTCACAGTTTATTTAAATTTCCATAAGTTTGTATAACAAGTAGAAAATTAAGAATTTAATTCAATTTACAGCTTAGGTGAATTATAAGTTAATTACTATATATTTTAATTTCAGGTATACTTTTTTTAAAGTTATTTCGAGGAATTGATAAAAATTGAAATCAGTTTAAGATAAACCTGAAATAGATCTATTGTATTAATAAAATCAATTATAATTGATTTAAGATTTTTATTTGATTCTTTCATTAAATTTCAATAAGAAATTGTCAAGAGTGACATTAGATTTCAATAAAGAAACTCTAATAACATCCCAATAAAGTATTTACCAATACTTTTGGAAACAGGAAACTTCCATTAAATTCAATAAAAAGAAAAATTGCCAATAGTTCAATAAAAGAAGATATCAAATTGCTTTCCCCATAACACCTATAAGATTCATCCAAATTAACCCAATTGCCAAAATTAAATTAATTTAAGCAAGTAACTAAAAAACGAAAGAATATTTTATCTTTCGTGATTCTTGTTAAAATATATCTTACTATTATAGATACACTATGTCAATTAACGTAGTAAATTAACATAAATTTAATACTGTTGAAGCAGCTCGAAATGTACATCGATGAATGTTTCTTAATGAAAAAATTAGTTTTAAGAAAGAAGTCTGGCTTACAATGGCATCCCGATTTTGGCGGCTCAATCGATGAATTATACTTTCTTTATTTACGCGATCTTCGCGTAGACTCTGGTTCGTCCTCGTACATACGACACTGTCAGTTTGCATATGATACACAATGTTCCTATGTTTCTTGTACTGAGAGAACCAAGTGAAGAACACTCAAATTTTTAACCCTTTCGTTACTGTGAACGATTATAGTAGTCCAGTGCAAAAATTTATATTACGAAATAAGAAGCATGCAATGAAAATTTCGTATGGCAATTAAAAACAAAAATACTTATGCTAAGCAATTCTTCGTTGCAAATAAAATTATTTTTCCTTTTTGATAGAGGTGATCGTAGCGAAAGGGTTAAAATATAACTTTAGCAATAGATTTACCTAAACAACGAACAAACATTCTTTGCAGATTCATGTGCTTAAAAAAGAAACAATTGATTATAAAATAATAGTACGATGGAAATGTAGAAAAATACATACGCGATATTGAAATATCGTGCAACGAATAATCTGATCGTATAAATAATATAGGAACAGTTAGAAAATATATGATATTAAAATGTAAGTTAAAAATTACAGGCAAGAACAGCTGCCTTTGATGTTCTCTTTTGTATTAAATACTTCTCGATAAATGTTTATGATAAAGCAATGAGAGAAAAAGGATTTGTACGTGTCTACGAGAAATCGAATAAACAGAATACTGACCGTTTACTCGAATACAAGCTCAACTTTTTGTTTAAAAGTTGCTACGAAGAATGTTGATAACGTATTGTAACAATACGTTCCTATAAATTAATTAAAATAATATACATAATATAATATGTTTTATCGTGAACTTGTCGTTGCAATTTGAAATGCAATAGACAAATTTTCACCATCGCAAGATTACTATCAATATAGTTATCCTGCAAATAACAAGAAAAAAAAGAATAAAAATAATTGACAATGTTTATGGTTGTATATATAATAAATTATTTGTTTAACACTTTGAAGACCAGCTATCAAAAATTAAATGATATATTGATAGATTTGTATTTCAAAGTTTCTGATTCTGTACAGTGCAAAATTATAATTTGAATATTCTATAATTAACCTTAGAAAGACGGAGCCTAATAGTGTTCCTTTTTTTTAAAATAATAGCTTTGTTAAATCAAAATTAGCATTTTAGGAAATTTAGAAAATTGTTTGGAAATTTTCATCATGAGTAATATTAGAATATATTAGAAAATATTAGAATGTTTATATATTTAACCCTCGATCGGCGGACCATGGAGAGAGCCCCAATTTTAATTTAATTTTGTATTTCTGGAAACTTTTCAACTAATATTTTTTATATATTCTAACATATTATATCTTAGAATATATATTCAATATTTTTTTATTAGCGAGCTTGACCAACCCCATAGTCTTTCTAGGGTTAATATTAAATAAAATAAAAGGAAACAGAGTTACAAATAGGTGACACTGTCCCTCAAAGTGTTAAAATGCCTAACGACAGCAAAAGTATTTCTCTCAGTACGCGAATTTACAAAGTAGCGAGTTCAACAGTCTGCTTCAGCATTTTCTTCTCAAATTGCGATATATCAACCCCTCGGTTTCCATCAAGTGTCACGGAAAAGCAAACTCTTGGTCCCTGTATTTTTTCCAAATTTTTCTCCTCCCGCCTCCTCCCCATTCGTTTACTCTTCTCTTAAACTGTTCATTCAATAAACAAAATAAAATTGTTGCAATTGGATCGCAATTAAATCGATTCGTTTCTTTCAGACTTTAATGGAGATCGTCGAATAAAGAAAATGTAATGGTGACGAGTATGTCTTTGAAAGTAATTCCTGAGGTTTTGATCATTTACAGGAAAATTTGTCAGTCTAATGAAGAATTAGAAATCAGATTTTCTTGTTTGAGAAATTATTTGAAACAGGAAATTTTAAGCTTCGGTATTCCAAAATTTGCATGTATTGCAATATTGACTGGCCTGACCTACATTCAAGTAATTATCTTCTTTTTCAAAAATTGGGGCATGTTAATTAACGATTTTGGTAAATATGAGGTACAGTTATTTTCACTGTATGTTTATCATAAATAGACTGAAGGGACTGCTGTTATAATCATAATTGTGCAATATTTTCTGAATTATTTTAATTCTTTGTATTAGCAATAATTTACATGAAAAATTAGATTAAAAAAATTCTAGTTTCCAAAATTACGCTTAAGAAAATTAATTTCTCAATTAGAGGACATCTAGAATAAATCAATTATTCTAATTATTTATTCCAACTAAAATTACTACCTTTTACCACTGTTTTCCAAACGATACTGTTTCAAAATTTCAGCCCTGAAAAAGTAACACTGTTTGCCAGTTTCGAGCAGAGTTTCACCGAACACAACAGTGACATTTCAAATCAAACTTTCCAACGAAAAATAGAAAAAGTCGTGTTCAAAATTCCACAACAAAATTCAAAAGAAAGAAAAAAAGGAAAATTCCAATAACACACCGTCACCGTGAAAACGCGAAAAATCAAACGACACCGTCAACGTCGAAATAATGGAAACTTTTGCTTTCCAAACAGTACAAGCGGCAAAATCGTGTCCCTCTTTTCTCTCCTTTCATTCTCCCCATTTTTTTTTATTGATCACGTCAAACATTTCTCTATTCTCGTTCGTTAAGTACGTGCACGACGACCGTCGTCTGTTACTACGTGTATCCTAGAGCCTTAAAACGACAACTTCGAGCTTACTCTACAGGAACGAACCTCTCTATCTCTCTTTCTTCCCTTTCTTTATCATCTCTTCACACCTAGGAGTTTCGTTAGCGTATATCAAAAGGACTATGTACAAAAGGGTCGTCTGGCAGCAGGAAAACGATCTCCTCGACGAAGGAATCGAGTTCGGAGAACGGTTTTCCGCTGTCATTGGGCTTAGGAACTATACTTACTGCTACACGATACTGTTCACTGGATTTTTTTTTTTCTTATCTCATGCTCGTTCTAGCAGATCAGCTCGACGGACATCGAGATTCGATCTGCAGACGATATCGACCGGTGCAATCGTTTTTCTATCGATTTTGAAGATCGATCACCTTCCAAATACTGTACAACCCCTTGTCCTGCAATTTGCTGATTTTGAACACTTTGATTGCCACGATAAATTCGTCGAAAATTTCAACAGGCAGTAATTATATTCAATTGGATATACTTTCAAATATTCAGTGATATTATTTGTGAGTGAGAGAGTAAGATTGTTTATGAAAATTTATGGCAGTCAAGGTATTTAATAAATCCTGTTTCTGGAATTTCAATTAACCCTTCGTGACGAATATCCTGTGTTCTTGTTATAAATTCATAGTGCATGCTTTGGAATTATTTATTTTAATTTAAATGAATAACATTTCATGCATACACTGTGTCGAGTTTCAGAACACTTCATCAGCAAAGGGTTAATATTTACCCTTGAAGCATAGGTGGTAGATATAATCCCTAGGTAAAAATCATCTAAATTTATCATCATATACAAATTTTCTTGCGAAAATTGATTTCTATCAACTGTGGAGAAAATTATTTTTGGATGGTACAAAAATCAGATATTATTCTTTTCCACTTAATACTCCAAGGGTTGAAATAAAAATTTTTCAAAAAATTAATACGTATAATAATTTGCTTCCTATCTCCTGGTATTTGAATGATTTTCCATTGCTAGAAAAAGGCATTAGACAAAGGGTTAAATATTTACCAAAATGAAAAAATAAAAAAAATTATACTTTAGTTCTGTGGAATGTGTCGACGACTGCACCGGTCTGTCTAATGTTCGAACGATGTTCTTAAATGACACGAGATCACTAAAATGAATTCTTCCTTCTTGATTGCGAATGAATCGCTATATCTCGAGGCTCTTCTTCAATCATCTCCGTTTTTACACTTTCTCGCCGTGCAGTTGTCTATCCGACAATTCGAACGCTTCTGCTTTCCGTTTCACTTGTTGATCCTTCTTTTAGCGAAACTATGCATCCCTTGATTAGAAATCTTTTCGTGAACGTGTATTTGTTAATGTTTAAATGAGTGCGTCTGTGTCAGTATCGCTCCCATTCGACGCGATTCACGGTAGCTTGTTTTCACTGGGCATTCAGTTCTGACCTGTGGAATACGAAAGAAGAAAAAAGAACTTAATTTTTCAGAATTTTTCAGCATAGAATATCCCATTATAGAATCATGAGTCGTCAGATTATAAAATAGGATATTTAAAGGCAATTAAAAATCACAAGATTTTGAATCGTTTATTGTGTCAATTACTTACTTTAATGCTTTATAACGTTCTTTTTCTGGATTGTTGTCGGGTGGTTCGCACTCAAAGGATGCCAAAGCTAGAGCTGTATCAAAGAAACAAAGAAGATAAAGAATTAGAGACTTGGAACACAAAATTAGAGTACAATCACTCATTTCAACAATTTTCTTTTTGCTACGGTAAAAAGAAAATTGCAAAGATTTATCACCATTTTCAGTCAGCACCGGGCTCGCCTGAAGAAAAGCAATGACACGTGGATTCTTTTCAAAGGGACAGGCAACTTGTTTCCAGGCGATGAATTCTGTCACTTGCTTTGCTAGCTGCCAGAATTTCTCAAAATTGATGTGTCCATTTGGTAATCTGAAACAGTAATTAATATAGATAGATTAATAATATGCTTTTCGTATCATTACAACTCTGTAGATTTTCAGTTATAAAATGTTTAATAATAATTGATGGATGTTGCGATGGAAAAATGGAAGAACTATGTTTCACGCCATCGAAAGTATATTAAAAGCGATTATACATAAAGATAGACAGTGGATACACTCGCGACAAGAAACGACCTACTCGTGCCGAGAGCTCTGTTCGACTGACTAGCCGAAAACAAAAACATGACCTAGATTTGGATCCTCGGCTGATATTCAAAATAAGCCATCCTTGTCGCTCACACAGGCGCTCACGCGTAAACAGACGCACAACATAAACATGCGGATTGTAATTTCAAACCGTCTTTTCTAACAGTAATTCTGGTTAAATTCTAAGAATTTGAAAATTTCGGGAATCGCCAGCTGACTGAAATAATTTCTGATCTGATCCGAGTAATCTTCGAGCACCCACGCGATATTTTCGAGAATCCGATTCGATTCGAGCCGAGTTTCGGGTACCCGAAATTTTCAGGTACCCGCACACCTTTAAAAACTACTGTAGATTGATAAATTTTCTAACTTTTCTATTTTCTATACCTATTCAGATTCGTTTAATATCGAAAATAAAAAATATTGCAATATGAAATCAAAGTAAGTTATTAAAAAAAATAATTCTTTTCAGAATACACACTGTTATCGCTCGAAGTTGATATCGAAGCTGAATATTTTACTTGGTAAAAGGAAAGTTCATGCGAAGAGAGGCTTTTGGTGCTTCTTCATTTTGTAATTTCAAGAAATGGATTCAAAGTGGTCAGTCGGCGAGAAAGTCTGAGGAAGTTACTCGGTAGCCTTCTTAAGTTTTATACACTTCACGAAAGCAATGTGATTTTATGTGCAAACAGTCTTGAAACTGGTTGAAATCATTCTTAGGGAATGGTAGAAAGAAGAAGCAAACAGAAAGGATATCAAAGAGAACAAGACTGAACTACTACCTTATTGTTAAATGAATCTTTATAAAATTAAAAGTACACACATATAAAATTGCTGAAATTTAAATAATAATTGCATGAATATTGCACATGGAACAATTTTTTAAATTATAAAAGAAGTTTAATTATAATATAAAAATCAAAATTCATTTTTAGAATACTTGTAAAATTACGAATGTTAAGTAATAGCTTTTTTTAACATTTTTATTATTAGCACTCAATTGAAAGTTTATGTACCATAGACCATTTCTTTTTTAATAAAATATTGTAACTAGATCCTAAATTCAATATAATTATAATTTATTCATTTTGCATCTTAATCTACGACATATTTCCACTTATGAAGTTCTGAAATTCGGAAAAAGGAACACTGCGGTTGTTGTCGCCCGTATTAATCAAAAGGAATTTCGCAACGGTACAACATGCATACGAGGTCATGTATGTTCCATGAAAGCGTGGGAGAAAATTACGAGTCGAACTTGAGCAATTTATCGTCGGTCGGAAGTACGCGAATTCGCGCACCAGCTACGCTCGTTTCCGGATACGCGACGTCCACGGTACAGACGTTCACGTAACAGACATTTACATACGCGAAGCAATTCGTTTTCGTTCGCCGGATGCTTCGATCGATCAGTATCTATCGGTTCAGAGAAACCTATCTTTCCTTACTGACTCCTCCACCCAAACACTCTGCAATTCCCTACCTACAGACCGAATTGAAATTTTATTATGTATTCAAGAATAATTCACAGTTAATCGAGTGCCATTTTTCTCTGCTTCAATATTTTCTTATTTTCAAAAAACGTCAATTTGCAAAATTTTAATTTTAGAAAAGGTCAAAGGGTTAACATATCATCTATTGTTACTTTTTATTAAATAATTTTACATTAAAATATTTATAATTCAGCTTTGTTCCCGTAATAAAGATTTAATAGAGTTACAATTGTCTTCGGCGTATCAACATATTCAGCCTCTCTTTCAGGTCCGTTTCAAAGTTTTCCACCAAACCTTTTCTACTTGTTCCCATTCTCGCTCGACGATCCTAACAATTGCAGGCCATTGTGAACATTTTATACCGTGGCCGTGATTAATCATCACAATGAGTCAGCGCCGTGGAACGCTTTTCATTCGGAAAACTCATTACGCGTACGATTGCGAGGGCGAAATGAAACCGTCGCTCGGGAAAGCTCGGCGCGTGGCTCGGTGAGAAGTTTCATTAGAAAAAAAATTCTACTCCACGAGTGGCTTCCCTCTACTCGACGATATTTACCGGACAACGATACGCGGCGTGTGTGCATTAAACTTGTAACGCCGTATATTATTCGGAAAATGACGAGGGACCAGCAGAAAGCTCCTGGCATCTTCGAAACGACGGGGAGAACGTTTGGCCGAATTGCGAGAACAGATCAGAGCGCAAACACGTGAATACAAATTGCTTCAAGACGCTGGCTGCAGACAAATGTCTGTGCATTAGGTACTTTGAAACGTTCAAGTGGCACGAAGATCGAAAGGTATGGCAGATATTTGACGGGTTGAACTGGGAATATATTGCATATAACCCTTTCGGTCTGTGGAGCATTGTACGTGCATATATATGCACTTGAAAAGGAGGATTGGATAAGAAAAAAATTATACTTAGGTAAAAAATGTAATATTTTCCAATCTTCACTGGCACAATGAGTCACTAAATTTTCATTTTTCAAGGCTTGCCTTTGAATTTTCAGTTTTATTGCAGAACGATTTAAATATTTTACTTAAGTGACACTTGTACAAATTACAGAGTTTAACAAATTCCTCAGGATTTTCTGAGATTTTTTTTTAAGCCTAGGAGGTCCATTATGCCGACCCCATTAGGGGGAAAAACACTCTCTAAGGGAGGGTTAAGAATACCTTAAAATAAATTATGTTACTTTGAAAAAATGATTCTAATTACTTTAGTGAATTTTAACACAAAGTTTTGAAAATGTATTGTATAGATTTTACTTAATATTCCTAAAAATAAATTAAACTATTTGAAAAAATTTAAAATGTAATAATTGTTACAAGCATCAAATTTTCAAATACACAAGAATTTTATTTGAAAATTTTTATTTAAAAAGAAGAAAATTCAGAGGATCTTTTCCTTTACTCTTTCTTCTTTTTCCTTTCCTTAACCTTTCTTCGGTTCCTCTTTTCAACAACTTCTACTCGAACTACGGGGAAACAACTTTTGCTATTACAAGTTTAATAAGTTTACACGTACAGCTTGAGGGTAGGAGCGCGACGGGGGAGGTGTTTCTCGCGTGCAAGAAGGCGAAGGAAATGGCATGGCACATTCGTCGTCGTGATAAATACGCTCGACAAAAAGGGTCGAAAGGTCGAGCACTTTGTGAGGAAACGAGCTTCCCGTCGACGTATCGCCTCCGCGGGAACAGAATTATCGAAGCTTCAAACGAAACTCGATGAAAAAAATAAATTCTTCTTATGGAGTGTTCGATTGCAAAATCACCGTCGATCATGTACGACTTCGTTTAATAATTTAAATTACTTTTCCCTTCAGAATTTCTTGTAATGATATTAACATTTCAGAAATGCAAAAGTAGAATTAATATTTTAATTCTGTGAATTTTATTATCTTTTTATTGTTAAAATTTTATCATTATTTGGGGACACGTGGTTTTGACTGCAATTAACTTAATTTCTTTGATTTTATTTTAATTAAATTATTCAGAAAATCATGCTTGACCTTAATATCAAATATCTCAGCTTAATATAAATTTTATTAAGGTACTAATTAATCGAAATTATTCGGTAACATCTGCTTCAAGTATTCACAGATATCAACAGGAAGATAGAAAGAAGAGATTGAAAGAGCCTGTTGATTACGATAAATCGTAATTAATTAGAGGCTGACGGAGGGTTTGGATCAGTGTAATTTTTGTCAACCTTGAAATCTCTCCGAGTATCGTTTCATCATTAATCTGAATGGAAGCATTTTACTCACTTGTTGCTGCATCCCTCGTTCAGAAAGTAGAGATCCTTGACCAGCAAGCTGAAAAAGGGTACGACGATTCTCTGTCGTTCGTCCGTAGCGCCGGCGCTACGCCACATTGCTGCTTTTAAGGTACTGCGATAGCTGCTAAAATTGCTACTTGGATCCATTTGGTGCTCCAGAATCGAGAATTTTGCTAGTTGGACTTTTGACCACTGGAACAAAAAATATTTCATATCTGTTAGTAAAAATTTTTAAAAATCGTTTTATTTTTGAACCACCATAGTTTAAATATTATTACTTAGTTATTCAAATTTTTATTTTCAAATACCCCATAATTATCAAGTCAATCTATAAATTTATTTTTCCATAATTTCGAATTCCATTACACAGAAAAAAATAAAATTTATTTACCAGATAGTAAAACTGTTAATTAATATACAACAGTTTGAATAAATATGTATTTATTCAATTTTATAACTTTCTACATCTTATAAGTTGAGAAGAAACTTATGAACTGACTTGATAAAAATTTCATAGGGTCAAATTTTAATTTTTGAATACTTAAAAATTACAGAATTCAATGAAACAAAATATTCTATGATCAGCTAATCAGATAGATGAAAATCGATCACAGCCTCGCTAGATCCAATTCATGTTGCCGTGTACCATTAAAATGCCACGGGGTTCCCTATAAAACGCGACCAGACACTCTGGATGGTGGTCCAATTTAATTTACCGGAAACTATTTCACCGTTCGCTACGTTGTACCACGTTATACGCTAATTCGTATTAATTAAACTGAATTTCGTTTAGCCTGGACTTTTTGGGTCGGTCAATTAAATCAGGTTTTAATGTAATAGCAACATCATTGAACAATCGTCAATTTTAACAGTTGCTTGTGAATCGAATAGAATATCATTCAGCTGGATAATTAGAATAATTTTGGTACTGACCAGGAGAATTCTTAAGAAATAAGATTTTTAATTACTTAGAATGCGCACAGTGTCTTATAAAAGAATTTCTTATTAAAGTGATTTCCATAACATATCAATTTCCATCGTTAATTATTTTTGATTTTTATTAAATTTTGTATAATTTTTAGAATAATTATTTTATCAATATACCATCATCCAAAGAAAATTAAACCAACAATTTATAATATACTTAATTGAATTTTTAAATAATTTTTCATTGATTTCTTAATAAAATGATTTACAGAATTTTCCGTTTCTGATAAGTACTAAAATTTATCTTTACTGTCGATTTATCAGTGGATGGTCGCCACTCGAGTTAGCAAGCGGAAAAATTGATCTGTTCGAAGCTCGAGACTCGTAGATACGAAAAAGGAAAATGTAAAATCAAGGCGAATAAAATGATGTAATCGATGCTAGCCGGTTTTGACGGAGGAATTAACACTCGAACGATTATGATCATTGACGTGGAAGGAATTGATCTCGACAGGGTCGATTGAAAATTGTACATTATTCGTTCGACGGCACGATTCTCCCTTTTCCTAACGAGTAAACTTCGTAGTTTAAATTGAATTAAATGGAAGTATAATTGGATGCGACAGGAGTTTTTATTTAATTGATTGTAATATGTATAGTGTGATAACGAATCAGGTACCACAAATAATTTACACAACTTCCATATATTGAAATTTAATTTAAAAGCTAAATAAACCAAAAATCTTTTAATAAACTCAGCCCATTCTATGAATACAAAAAATACCTTGTTTTAACGAAAGACCCGTTATCAGTCAAGAACCTTTCACAATGTTTGAAGAGATCCATTTCACCGACAAGCTGAAGAATTATTAACCGGAATAATACATGGTATCCTTCCCGAATCCCCGCCGCAAATGTTCGTAGATTCGTCTTCCCGGCGGAAGGCTCTATCTCGTGAAAGACTAAATTCGTGGAGGATTGAGGATCCCTGCTCGAACAGACTACATTCTAAGAAGGAAAGAGGGTTCCGTTGCTCGCCGCGGGAGCCATTTTTCTCCACCGCGACTCGATTCGATTTCTCCGGAAATGCTCTCGCCGAGTAAAAAACACTGGGAATCGAGAGACTCCTGGTGGATCCGGTAAATTGAAACTGGATGGGAAACCGAGGGGTAAAGTAAGAGGGAATAGGGTCGCGGAATCTGCTTTCAGCCAGAGATCCCGCGAGACAACGACGAAGAAATGAGAAGCTGTTTCGCTGCTTCTCTGAAATTGAGAATTCTAATTGGTGAAAATTACGAATATTATTTTATCAACAAAATTTTGTGAAAGTTAAATACACGATACTTGATATCAGAAACTACCAAATTTTTGTTTATTGAAAATTTTATATTTTCATCTATATTGTAAGTTAAATTATAAGTTGGAGTAAAAAATAAACAATTTTAAGAATTCTTATAAAACTACCAAAAATTATTATTTTAACCCTTGAACAGCGGAGCCTGGGTCAATCGTGACCCAAAATTACAAAATTATGTATGTAAGGATATTAACAGTGTAAAATTTAGAAAATGAAAATAAAATAAAATACGATATTAGGTAAATTAACATTGTGGCTCTCTTCATGGTCCGCCGTTCAAAGGTTAAAGTATTATATGTGAAATGAAATAACTGTGTTTTAACAGAACGTCCAAACAGACATTAACAGAATACTTCCGGATAATGGGGATTCGGAACGAGAGAAGCTTTATCGCGCTCCCCTTGAACATAATCCACTTTTTGCGATCGGGACGAGAATAACAAGCTTTCAGTTTTAAAATACGAAATCGAGTCATTTTTAAATTTTAATCCCACTCTTTTCAGTTGGCGCGTGATTCATGAGCTGCCACTTGTCATCCAATGTTCTCCACACGTTTCCCCTATTTTCGCATTTTCAGTTGATTTGCATATTAAAAACTTCCTCTGAATTGGATTCATAAAGCTTTGTCACATAAAAGAGCCCCGTCGGCCAATGGGATTCCACGACTCGGACGTAAATTATTAGCAATCAAGTGGATGCACCGGTCAAAGGGAGAAGGAAATGCAAATTCAGATTTTGAAACCGATTTCGTGAATGGAAATCGATCGAGAAGAATCATATTTCATTCTGTTTAATTAACAAAGAATTAAGAAAAAATTTTAGAAATTAAGAAACAAATTTGAAGCATACATTTTTTTTTATTTGAAGAACAAAAGAATTAATATGGAATTTAATTTTTTTTTAATTTAAGTTAATTAGAATTTTAAATTTCATTCTTAAATTATAAATATAAAAATACTTGTTCAAATGAATATCGTATACAATTGTATGAACTGTTTGATCGGTGGAGTGTCCAATACACCGTCAATAGTTCCAATCCCGTTTCTTTCTCTCAGTACTTTCTGTTATATTCGAATCGCAGGAATTTCTCGTTTCTCGAACTCGATACTTTTTAATTAAAAACTGTGCCTTTAGCGCCGCGAAGCCAATAAATTTCGCGTCGTTCCGATGAAAATTATTCGCGCGGAACGGTAAAAAGAAGTTGCCCGCCGTGGAAAATCGTCGCGATCAAGCGTAATTAACTTTTCAAAGTTCTCGAACTTATGGCAGGCATTAAATATGCATCAGTCAAACTTAAGTCACACGGTAGAGATTTCATATAAAATGTCAAAACAATTTTAGGATCAACCAAGAAGTTCGAAACGGAGTTCTTACACTATAGGAACAATTTAATTTTAAATTGTTTATTGAAAACGATAAAAAGGAAGGCTATTAATATAAAATAAAATTTTTTAGAAATACATAAATTTTATTAGGGATGAAAAATTCATGTAAATGAAAATTGCTGCACTTTTCAACCCCCTCATGAAAATGTCATCCCCGCGTGAAAAGAACTCGTTCAACTCCCTTTTGGAATCTTTACCCCCGTCGATATAAAAGATTTCGAACAGCTGCCAGCACGTGAAACTTACCCATCCCCCTTGATAATGGACAGGACAGAGGGTGAGGGTGGTATCTCCTCGCCGGTGGATCGTAACGACCGAACGTAATTAGCTTTTTGAAGGGGGGCGAAAAGCGAGCCGATGTTCCCTTTCACGACGAAAGAAGAAGACGTCACTCGCAGATTATCTCTGTGGTAAATTAACCCGGCATGGGGCGGTATCGTTCATCGTCCCGGCGGCTTCTCGAACATGAGTCAACCCCCCTTCAGATGCCGACGTCGAGTTTTCGACGCTACGATTCAGGACGAAACTAGCATGGAAGTTGAAAGTTCGTTGGATGAGCAAAGAGAATATTCTCTTGGTGAATAAATGAAGGATGCCGAGGAAGAGGGGGATAGGGGTGGGTTGTCTTCCGTTAGACTTCGACACGTCCTCCTCTTTTCCGGGGATTTCTGCTCGATGCTTTGACAGGAGATCGATTTTTCTAGCAGAAATTGCGAGATGGAGTGATTGGAGCAAAACGAAATTGTGAAAACTAGACGAAAATGTTAGATTTTTTATAAATAGAAATTAGTAAATAATTATTCCTACCTATGAAGTGAAAAATTTAATAACTAAGTTAAAAATAGACAAAAAAATAGAAATTAGAAAATTAGAAAACAAAAATAGAAAATAGAAAAATACAAATTACAAACCAAAAAGATCTCAATACCAAGGAATTAAAATTCAATAATTTAACTTCCTAATGATTCTTCTGCCAACATAATTAATTTTATCTACACCCACATACACCAATATGCTAATACTAAGGGCTCCAACTTGAATCAATCACGCACCAAGAAGAGGGTGGTTCCAGTGTAAAAAGGAACATCAAGAGGAAACGTCAAAACGCATTAAACAATTTTATATCTGGTACTTAACCGAGCCAGTTTCTGACGAACCGGTGAATATGACTTTATCGTGGTACGAGACAAATTGCGGGTCGAAACGAGGAAGCCATTAAACGTTTTTTCTCGTTTTTAATTACGAGGCCGAGCCGGTGTTCTGCGGACATATCCCTCCGGCTCTATTCGACGCGGACTGCTATTCAGGGTTCATTTGGTTCGGCCAGCTGATTTATACAGGCCACGGTTAAAATAATTGCTGGAACTATCAGCGGCCAGGCGGCGCGGCCGGCTTCGTAATTTTCGTTAATGAAAATTTAACGCTTCTGTTCGGTCACGCTCAAGCGTTGTTTTCGCCTCCTCCTCATCGTACTTCGCGCTAATCGTTGTGTACTCGCGGAAACATTCGCCGATTTTTCATGAATACGCTTCAATTTAAACTTTCATATATCTTTGAATAAATATCATTAATATCATAAATTTAATAATAGCTTGATACAAAATTAATTAACGTTTTTATCCATCAATTTAATCTCTTGTAATATGATCACAAATTATTGTTAAATTTTATAACATTTTATTATCCATGATATCTACCAAAATAATTTCCTTCTTTAAACAAAAATTAATTTTTCATAATAATTTTCAAGTTTCAGTTTTTCCAAAAATTATTTTTCAATCCTCCATTTCGTTTTCCATTCTCCAAGTACCATAAAAGTGCGAATTTCGTGAAAATGATAATAACCATTAATTAACATGTTAATTACGCCATAGCAGTGTATAAATTCATTTGAAAGAATGGATACTCGTCACCGGGTTTTTTATTGCAAAACAGAGGAGGCAGCAAGAATATTTATGAACTTTTATATACATTGGCCACGACACGAAATTCAACTGAGAGAGAGAAAAAAAATTCATTTTATTTGTCATAATGGCTGTTCCATTTTCAGCTACCATCATCCCGTTTAATCCAATTCGCGATGAAACCGTGACTCGACCACAGCCGAAATATTTCCATTTAAATCGGATCGTTGATACGATATCTTCGGAATCTGTGTTAATACCTGTGTTACAGCGCTGTCGAGTTATTTCCAGCCAATTTTTTTTTATTCCGTATTGTCTCGAACATTTCGGAAAATTGAACCTCTATTTGCAGCGAATCGTGTGCTTCCAGAATTCACAGTTTTGAAATTTGAACGTTAAAAGTCATACGGTGTAACTTTTATTTTGTGGTGTTGTATTAATTAAAAAATATTATTGATGAGATTGTGGTAGGAAGACAGTTTGATAAATAGTACTATTTTTTAGTGGACGCTTCAGCATTGAATTTTCAATTTTAAATGAAAAATTTTTTTATTCAAGTTATTATCAAAAGCTATTGCTGCTGGATGAAAGAAAAATGGAGAAATAAATTTAAAAAAAATTAGGATATTCAAATTTTCATATGAAGTATTATTTTATTTTCAAATTAAAATCTTAATTATGTGCTTTTCCTTTTTTTTAAATTGAAGATTTACTTTTGAAACCTTCCATACAATTAATATTAAATTATATCAATTTGCATAATTAGTAAAGGAATTTAATAAAGTCGGTCATTTAAAAGAAATAAGTACGTAATAGGATCAATTGTAATAAAATTGTGCAGCTTATAATAAAAGCTGCTTACAATAAAATTTTAAGTACCTTCGTTAACATCGATTATTAATGAATATTCATAATGACAAAGATATCAGTAATAATTATGGCATATTAATTCCTCTCTTCATCCTTTTCTTGATACTGCATTTTTTCCCCAAGTTAGTTGTAAGTAATAAAAGTTTCACTTAGAGTTTAAAACAACAATTTCGAGAATAAAAAAACGAAAAAACTTTTTTCAACGTTAAATTACAAAGTTTTGTGTAATCTTTTTAAAATTCTTGTTAAAGTTGCCTTCGTCATAAAAACTTGCAAGTGGTTATCAGAAATCTTTGATAAACTAATTTCTCATAACCGTGTTTTCTTTTTCAATTATTCATTAACTGTTATGGTTTTAATATCTCAAGAGTGTTCATCTCAGTAAATTTACTTTTTCTAAGGAACGCAGCTCTTTTATCCCCAATGGAGTTTTATTGCAAAATAAAAGAAAAGGGTAAGGCACGAAGATGTCTCTATTCCAGGAAGTAATATCGTGAAAGACTGACAGAAACTCCCCCTTTCTTTCTTTTTTCTTTTTTTCTTTTTTCAAGAGAAATGCAATCGTTTGAAACGATATGCGTTTCGATTATTTTGTCAGTGTCACGAATTGGAATGCAGTGTCCTCGTTTTTCATTCTTCAATAAATTCGCGATACGTTCGGTTTTTGTTTAACACTGAATTCTTTGTTTCATTGGTCCAACCATGAAACAATTGGTTTGTCTTTGATGAAAGCGTATTTTATTTCTTTTCTGTATCACTTTGTTTCGATTGACGAATTTTGTACAGCGTGTCTGATACAGTAAATCCATTTTTATATCACTGGTATTTGATTGTAGTAAAATGTGACAGCATTGATAGTTTGAAAAAATGTGTGACATTGATATTGACACTTTTTTGTATTCATAATTTTAAAATTGATTAAAACGAGTATACGTATTAAGAATTAAAAATAATTTTGATAAATTGAAAAGAGGGGATTTATTTTTGCAACAGCAATTCAGTTCAAAATTTGCAAATTTATAGTGAATTTCGAACTTTGGAATTTTTTTTTTATATAATAAATAGAAGGCTTATAACAGGGCTTTATGCAAAATAGAGCTCTGGGCTGTAGCGCCCCTTAGACCACCCCCTAATCCATTGCTGTTCTGGCACATGCAAAAATACAATTATTCAATTAAGTTGCCTTCCTTTCATTTCTTTACATTTTTGTGAAAATATTACAAAACTGCTTCAACACTTTTATAGAGATTTACGTTTTCAAAATAAAAACTTATTCAATTTATCACGCTCCTCACTTTCAATTACACGAAACCGTAATTTTATTAAAAAGTGATACCATGACTTTTCATGTCAAGTTTAAATGAAATTGAAATAATTAAAATCCCATAGATTCTCCACTTCTCCAGTTAACACGGTTTCCTCGTGCATTTCAACTGAACTTGCAAAATAGTAGGTTAAAATTCAATTAAAACAGCACTCCATCCCTTTTTCTCCATCCTGCTCTATCGCGATTTTCTCGCGAAAATGTTCTTCGTATTCGAGCAGCGACGCGAAAATTTGATTTTCAGCGATTCGTCATGGGCGTCGCTGGTCGTCGCGGCGCCACGCTCGATTTACGAGGATTACAGACCGCTTATTGCCGTGCACACCCCCTTGTATGGCAGTGCAAACGAGCGTGGCCCAATTCGACCCGTTGTCGTCGTATTAACGCTTTCCGACTGGACGTCGTCGTCTCGACCAACAGGATAGCCGAAATGTCGTAAAACTGTATCACTCGTTCTATCGTCTGTTCAATTACATTTGTAGCTTCTCGATATACAAGATTTCAGTCGCTTGTAATTATTACATTATCTATTAAGATCATTTTTGTTTAGTATTTTAATACGTTGATTGCCATATCAATCGGATAATTATAAAATAAAATTTGTATTGCGTTTTAAATAAAACTCTTAAGCTTTTCAGAAACTATTTTTCATAACTATTTTCTTTTCTTTTTCCTGAATTTTTCTAAATTTGCTTTCTTTTTTAAACGAGCCAAAATACCTTTTAAATTATTAATAGATTCAAATAATAACTAAATGATAATTTTTTTCTTTGTCTAGAAAAATTGAAATATAATTGAAACTTACCGTTTTCTTCAGACGAGATATAGGGGACATGTTCAGGCCAGCAATGATTGCCATCAAAGAATTGAAATTACCAATGTTGAAGCATTCTCTAGCTGTTTCGATCCAGTATTCAACCACACGAACGCGTTGCTTCTTTTTTGCATGCTGTAAAATAAACAACAAGATTTCTAATCTTTAGTGCTTGTCATTAACACTAGATTCCTTAATAATGAACTATGGAATGAATTCCGATAAAAATTTGCAACATTTTTTTTTTACTAAAGGGATATATATTTTTGTTGAAGGATATATATTTTCATTTTCAAAATGAAAGATATATTCTTCTGTTAAAATTACCTTGCACACTTCGGTTGCTACGAAATAGCTCAGTCTATTAAACCATTGGACGTACGATTCGAGATTACGCGTTTTCTTCATGTCCTTAAAGGATGTTTCTAGGTGTGGAGATTCCTGTGCAAATGAAAAAATAAAAATTTATCATTAGTTTGAAAGTTATAGATATACTTTACTAGGAAACCCTAATTAACAATAGAAACATGAAATTCCTCCATTTCATAGAAAAAGGTCTAAAAGCATAATCACACAGTCAGATGATTAGATCGACTGAAAATAAAAAAAACAGGAACACGTACCTTGGCGAATGCTTGGACGAATTCTTCAGGGCCGATGTAAGAGAGCCTCTCGAGTTCCACGTGGGTCAATTGCTGTGCCAGAACCGTGGCCGAGGGACAGAGCTCGGTGATGTCCACCTGAAAAACGAGGTGACAGTTCCATTCGGTTAAAGCGTCGAAGAAAGCTTCCTCGGGAAATCGTACAAGGAAGAGGCCGTAGGAAAGAGAATGACGAGGGGTTACAAGAAGGGAGGAGGATGGGGGGAGGTGAAAACGATGGAACGAGACGTCAACGGGGAACTCGATTCATGGGAAACGCGTGGAAGACAGAAAACGGAAGTAGAGAACGTGCGGGGCGTCGCGACGCCTCTTCTTTTCCTTTCCAATTTCACGTTCTCGTGCTTCGTCGAGCAAATTCAAGCGGGTTCTTATCTGCGTCGACCGCAGTTTCAAAGTGGTTCGGGCAGCGTCGCGACGCCCTTGGACGCGTCGATAAAGATCTGGTGACTGGCATTATGTACGGTATCGTCTCGTTCATGAATTCACCTCGACATGAAATGGCATACACGCTCGTAACGCCAACGATACCCTGCCATGATTTTCTATGATCTTTATTTCCTTCCTCGAGATTCCCTCCTATTTATTGCTCAGAAAGCCTTTCATGTTTTTTTTTGCAAGATAAAATATGTATTTTGGATTTTTGAATATAATTGGAAATTTCTAAACTTAATTCAGATAAAAATTATTGAAGATAATTAGGAAACGAATAAAAATATTTTTAATATTTCTTAAATTTAAAAAATTGAGAAAAATTAAAGTATCTTAATTATTTTAATTAAATGATTAAAGTTCTGAAATAATTATATACGATAGATTTGAATTCATTCTTGATTGTTTTAATATAACGAGGATGGAATTACAGTTTGATTTTCATCGTAAGGTATATTTTACTGTTCCGAAAGGATCATTAATTATTCTATACAAGAAATTGTGACAACCACTTGGGTACACTGCATTCGATTGCATAACACGAATCGCCGGAGAATCGCGTAATATCCATTCCCAAGTTTCTTTGGACACCGCAAACATTATCATCCGCTAAACTTGAGCAATTTGGAACTTGCGAAATCTTGGTGATCGATGATTTCTTGTTTGCAGAATAGTAGATAATTGTGCGGTTACATTTCATTTAGTGGACAATGTAGAGAATCTGTTTACTCTGAACTTTCTGTATAACTTTACGATTAAGATTTATTTGCAAATTCCTAACATTATCTTCTAAGAAATTGCTTTGAGGAAACTAAGACGTAACTGATAAAATTTATCAACAAACCTAAAATAATAATATATTTGCTGATCGTGTATTTCTATTTAGAAAATATCTTATTTTCTCTTATTTTGTTTTATTTTATATCCAACTGCTACCATTCTTTCATTACAAAAAGAAAAAAAATATAGTCCTATTATTCCATTGTACGGAGTCATTTATGCATCATTGCTCTCCCTTTTTATTTCATCGCGAGAAGAAAACGAAGCGAAAAGGGAGAATTTCCACGTAAATCAAACGTTTGCCACTAGTGGTTCGAGTCAATATTATTCTGGACGAAATCGTGCCGTAACCTCGTATCGACTAGCATTGATAATTTGATCGATGATTTAATTCGAAGAAACGAAGACTACGTACCCTCGTAACTGAATCATACGGCTCGCTGATCTTATTCGAGCTTGACGGTTCTTACTTTCATCGCGTCGAGGAAATGATATGACGGTTTTCACAGAAACCTTCCAAGACGTTGCTCTGTATTTAAGGCCACGACCATCGAATCGAGTAAAACGTCAGATCCTTAATTCGAAATGAACGAGAACTGACCGGAGTCCTTGATTTAATAGAAATGTTAAGTTGAAAATTAATTAAATGGAAAAATAATTATTTATACGAATCACAAAATATTTATATGAAGTATTTTATCGTGATAACATTTAATAATGTATAGAATATTTATTTAAGAAAGATTTTGCTAGATTCATAGAATCTACGAATTCACGATATTTAGAAAACATTTTGCGAAATTAAAAATGAAGTTTGTATAATTAAATAATTTTATAATGAATTGAAACGAGCGGAAACACATTTTTAGTTAAATTTCTTTGGTTCGAAAGGGAATGAATTAGCATCACAGCACTCATCATGGAGATGAAAATTAATTATCTTTTCACCCACGGATTTTGACACTCTTTTTCTCGGCTACATTAAGGAATAGCTAAAAGTGGCAATTAGCACAGTCAGATTACGTAAAAGTAATTGCTCGCGTTACCATAATTAGCCGGCTGTTTTTTACGCTTCAACGAAATATACGGTAAAGTTCAAGTAATTACAAGGTGAACGTTCTTTAACTATTCTTCTTTAGATTAATCCAATTTTACTAGATTTCTAATTTTAAATAAAAAATATTAAAGTCCTTTTGTCAAAATCTATATTTACTAAATACCTAAAAAAAAGAAAACAATCAAGAATTAGGAAAGAGAATTTTACTTCAAAATTTGGGATGGTTTTCAGTGTGGATGATTTTTTATTAATAAAAGAGTTTTATCGAATGTCAATCGTGAAATCAGTGATTGAAAAGGAGAAACAAGCAAACTAAAGAAGAAACGCGAATAGAAACTTGAATAATAGAGGAGACGTTGTACGACGAAATCTGATCGTTTTTCAAGTTGGTAGCGCACAGTGATATGGGTCAGTGTTTGCTGCGACGCATCGTTCCACCCCTGTTATTTCGAGGGACAAGTTAAGCGAGAGAATATAAATTTTCCGGAGGTAGTTCTATCCAACGAGGAGGCGGGTATGAATGGTCGAACGTTCGATTCAAATTGAAATGTCTGCTGGACTCGTTCCTTTCATTCTCAGCCGTGCTTACAATGGCGACGATGGGCATAAATAATTGCAATGACACCAGACCTATGCACTTATACGTTGGACTGCTTGTTGATGGAACACTGGATATGATTTGAAATCTGTTTTCGACTCACTTTCTTCTACTTTTTCTAATTTTTGTTTCCAAAATTGTAATAACAAAATAAATTTATTTTATGTAAATTATATTTCTAAATATTCTAAAATTTCAATAGTAAAATAAATTTATTTAAGATAAATTTTATTTCTAAAATTTTAGAAACAAATTTTAATTCTCTAAATTTTGTTTCCAATTAAATTGGAAATATTTTTAAATCACTTTTAGACCCAATTTTCATTAATAGAACTTTGGAACCAAAATGTATGCATGTAATTGAAAATGATTATTTCCAGCGTTTGAAACAAATTTCAAACATTATCGACAAAATAGCTACAATTAATAATAATAATTGAATTGGCGGAGATTACAGAAAACTGCTAGTGACGCTGCTTTGATCATTTAAAAGCAGCCATTAAATTCGTTCCTGTGTTCGTCGAATACAATAGCTTGTAACGGAGTTAATGCGGATTTTAAAGCGTATTATCGTTATCAATTAAAATCCCGTTATCTCTGGTAACAACGTTAACACCCCCGTACTCAAATATACCCGATGGAAGCTACATTTCGAGGACCTTTGTGTTTGCACCTCGCTTTCTTTTTCTCTCGTTATTACGCGGATGAAAACGTAATTAAAAGCTTTGTCCAGTCGCGAAAAGCAAAAAGATGACTTTTACAACGTTTTGCGAGTTTTCAGTTGACCCTTGCATACTGATCGTAAATTGTAAATTGAAAAATGCACCTATGGCTCTACATAATTTTCATTAAAGAAAAACAGGAAAATTTAAAATGTATTTTCATGATTCTGTTATAAGTGACAAAAATATTTTTATAATTGAAAATTTTTACTTAATAAATTTACCATGTAATTTTCTTTAGTCTCCAATTTTTTACCCGATTCCTTCCACCTGTAAAAAATTAAACTTCTTCCACATAAAATCGCAGCTCGCTATTTTTTTTTTCTTTCAAATACCAAAACTATTGGAGAACGTGCTCCTCAAACGAGCAACTACTCAAACGTAATAAAAGATCTTAGGTGAGTAGCTTGATACTTGTTGGAAACTTTCTTTTCCCGTGAAGGAAAAGATTAAAGGCATGCTATTGGTCCTGCGAGCTTGCTCTTGTTTTCAAGAAACATAAAAAGAGCCAATGAAATTCGATGCAATAAATGGGATGAAAGATCGAGATGAAACTTCGGGTATCAAACAAGAGATTATAGCAGAAAAAAAGTTTTGCAATAAGGAAATCGCAATAGTCATTTTACGATGATTATCATTCATTTTAATTGTCTAATATTGACTAAAGGACAGAAGAACGTTTCTTGAAAAAAATGTATAATTTAATTTTTCCAAAACTGATAAATGATGTTATTTATTAAAATCAGAAAATAATGAATGATAACCATTACTTCACCAAATTTAAAATCGAGCAATTTCTAATCATGTTTGTAAGTTTTCAGGCGATGGTAAGCCTACAAACAATATGGAGGATGATGAGGGAGAAGAGTAGGAAGGGATTAAGGGCGTATTATTGGTTTCGCGAGTTACGTCCCGCTTCTTGAAAAAGTTCAAGCAAAGCTGTCGTCGTGGCACGAAGTAGAAACGAGTTCAAAAAGCGCGGCGAACTTCCGCTTTAATAAGCCGGAGCTTCCTAAGAGCTCGACCTCCCCCCTTTCCTTATCTATTTCCTTTTTTCTCCCTTTCTTTCATCCTATATTTTTATTGCTTTCCTTCGAGCTTTCCACTTCGTCTACACTTCTTGAGGCAATTTCTCTGCAAGGAAGAAAACGTCGTGCAAACATGATTCCTTCAAAATAGATTGTTCACATTTATCATCATTCAGGATTGATTATTTTCTCACATTATCGAAGGCGAAGAAAAATATTTTAAATAGCAATAGTGATACTCGAAAATTTGTCTAAAATAAAATAAAAGAAATGAAAAAAAAAAGAAAAAAATTATACATACCACTTTAGTAATTTTAATACTTTTTACAAAAAGAGAAAAATAATTGCGTAAATATTAATTTTCTCATAGTACATAAAATGAAAGCAGTCTTCAGAAAGAATATATGTTATAGGAATTTTTACTGAATCAAAGAAGCAATTTACAATATTGGAAAAATATTGGAATTACAGTTTGAAGGAAACGCTTTCCACAATTTCCGCAAACTTTTGATAGGCAACGGGGCAATTTCATCCGGGTTTAGATGAGGAAATTATTTATTATGCTACAGGAAATTTATGTTCCTTTGATCATAAAGAACGGTACTATTATTCATTCGTCTGCGATGAAATATGCATTTAACGCTACTTTGTCGGAGAGATGAAAGGTCTTTCAGTTTCTCGAAGTGCTTTCATATGAAATTTTCTATAAATAATTAACCCAAGTAAACGCATCGTTTATGAATATGAGGAAAATTTGAAAATACCTATCTCATGAAATATCAGCACTGAACGTGAAGCAATTTAGTATCTACCTCTGTTTTTGAAAATATTATATTATCAAAATATTGGATGCTAAAATATCGGTGTAAAATGGAGACATACGTATCCGTACGTCGAACGAACGTTAATATAACCGTGTATTTGCGGCAGTGGTATCCGAAACGGGTATCCGACGAAACAATCCTGTGTATGCGGTAATTTCTCCGCGCCGCGCCGCACACGATCATCGATGATGCTTGTAGCGGTCTACGCTCACGCAATTCCGTCCTGATTAGCCGTACCACGATACGCCGACATATTTAACTAACTAATGCAGTTGCAAATTAGCTATTAGTAGGTGTTACACGGGGTGGTAGATAGGCGTGCGCCAGGTAATCAAATTAAATGGAATAGTTACTGTCGCCCGCGTTGGGAAACTGCATTACCCAGTTAGCCTAACTGCACAAAGTGTCACGCGTACGAATGCGCTTGTTTGCATCTGGATCGGTATCGTGCGAAATAACACGTATAAATAGGAACCGGTGCTATAGGTAAAATCCACGTGGATCATTCGGAGGGATGTTATCGGTGTCGCGTCGCAGAAAAATATTGAAATGTCTGTCAAAGGGAAGAACGTGGCCGGAAAATCGAATTCGTACACGGGGGCTGCTTGATACTGGAAAAAGGAAGCTATTTTAGACCCGCGACGTAGTTGGATGCGATGGCGAAACACAGACACGCGGAAAATGTACTCAAGCTGAATCTATAATGTTCGTGTTACGTTAGACGTCTCTGGAGATTATCTGATTTGAATTTTAGTGTTCATATTAAATAAAAATTTTATAAGGTGGAAATTAAGAATTATTAAATAGTTTTTAAATACATTTGTGTTATTTTTCTTGGGATAGGTGGTTGGTTTTTAATTAGATATTATAATTAAATCTTTAACAAAGGAGCGTGGGTCAAATGTGAAATATAAAATTAAATTAAAATTTGCGAGGATTAATTATCGTGTGGAAACACGAATGAAATATTATTGAATTCCGACAATTCTAATTCACGAGTATTTACACTGTTAAAAGTGTTTTTTGAAAATTGCTGAAATATTTGTCAATACCATAAGAATGGACTTCAATTTTCTGCGCGTTTTAAAGCAAATATTTAGCTTTTCGTTTTCTGTTGAACACGCATCGCGCAAATGTTTGTATAAACTAGTAGGTACAGAGAAACGGACGTGTGTATGTTAGAAGGTGTGTACGTATCGGTACAAATACAAAGGATACAAGCGAACCATTCAAACAGAAACAAGAGCATCGTGTTAGGAGGACGGAATTGGTGCACGAAACTAACGGAAGGCGGTCACGGCAAATACCGTAGACAGAATATTATCGGTTCATTATACCGGAAGTTCTCCGATGTTTTAGTCTGTTACACTAAACCGAATAATCGCTATCGACTTCCGCAAATATGATCAAACTTGTTCAATATGTACACCGATGAATTAATGATACCGATCCAATAGAAATAATTAAAGTAACTTGATATAAATTCGAATTTGAATTTAATTTAATTTCATGGAGATAATTTCGAAATTTTACTGAAATGTAGATATACTTATTTAAATTCTTTTGTTAGGTAACCTTAGTTTGTTAAAAATATTATTTAAGAAAAACAATACTGATTTTAGGTTTACCTATAATGCGTTAATAATAAATGAATTTTCTATTATTCTCACCTTAGAATTTTCCATTTTATATTAAATTTTGTAAAGACCGAGTATTTCGAATAACTTACCCCTAAAAAACTCAAGAATTAATTACAGCTTCTCTAGTATTACACGTACCACTGTAATTCAGAGCTGTTTAAAGTTTTATCATCTTCAGGGTCTCAAGACGGGAGCAAACAAGTAGACACGTAAAAGAGGATTAGGTACTAGTTAGACAGTGATAATGCGGAGTATTTACGAACCTGTGTAAGCTGTTCTGTCGCAGCTTCGGTAGCAAGTCTGGCAAGGCCCTCCTCATACCTCTCCAGCGCCGTCAGTCTAAGCAGCAAGTTTTGCAGCAATGCCGAAACTTCCTGCCTGGCCGCAGCGTCGACCGCAGCGACCTTCTGCGTGATGGACCTGACGTGACCCATCACCCTCTCATCCCGGAAGTCGTACGGGAATGTTTCTGTCCATTCGGCTAACAGCTGCACCAGTCGTGGCACAAAACGCTGCAGACGTTCCTGGAACGCGTTAGACAGTTTCTACTAACCGTCTTCTTATCTCTACACCTTCATTGTTATTAAACTGACAATTAAATTAATTGCATTAATGAAACCATGGAACTAATAACCCTTATAACTTTTTCAGATGATGTGTGCTGCTCTACTTCCACTACCAATTTAAAAAAAATGTTAATATTCATAGAAAATTGAAAAATTTAAATTTCAAATTTCAAAACTGCCTAATAATAAATTCTAAAAATTTAAGCCCTTTATCTTAATTAAATTAATTCAAAAATAAAGAAAAGATTCCAAGAAATTCAGAGTATCAGGAGCGATAAAAAGAAACAAGAAGCTCAAAAATGACGCAGGTTTAAATTAAAAAAAAAAAAAAGGGGGCAGAGAAGATATAGAGAGAAGGAGGATAGAAATTCATTTGCGAGCGAGACTTCTGGCCTGGATACGCGTGCTCGTTATTACAACGTGGAACGAGAACGGGCGCGCACGGGGTGATTCCCTTGGAGGGGGGTGAATGCAAAAGGGGGTCGAGACTGCGAGACGATGAAACGATAATACACGAGGTGGTCGTAAAGTGCACACCCGGAAGGATCTCTCCTTCTCTCTCACACGATGGTGCTTTTGTAGATTCGTGGCTCACCTTGCCACCCTCTCCATTCAGGTTTTGCTGATGCTCGCAGAGGGCGCAGACCTCGCCTAGAAGCTCGTGCGGCTTGATGAAGAGTCTGGCACTCAGCAAAAAGGCGAACAGGTATGCCCGATCGGGATAATATTCCTCGGTTGGTACCATGTGTTGCACCAAGGCTTCCAACGAGCCCGAGACCAGGTTCCCGTCTCGATACACCAGTGCCTGAAATGAAACAGGAAATTGGTTAATTGATTGCGACTGGTTTAGAGGGTTACGGAGTATCTCCATAGAATGCGAAAGGGCGCAAGTGTACGTGCTCGTGCATGCTACGCTTCGAGGGTTAAAGTATTCGTTCGTAGCATGTTGAGCGAATAGCTGACTTTGTAAAAAATTTCCTGGGACGGCAATTTGATGTTCTTTACAATTTATGGTAAAATTTATTGATTTGAAATGTATAGAGTGGTTTATAATTATTGATGGTATAATGGACTTAGTTTTAGCAATTTATTTTATTTCTAAAAATTTTTTGAAATTTATTATTTATTTAGAGTTTGATGAAGCAAGAACCAGGCAGCTTCATTTTTATTTTACGTTTGAGTAAAATTTTTTCAATTCTTGTAAAATTAATAGAAATGGAGCTGCCTAATTCTTTCATTTAACCCTTTAATTATAAAGTTGAATATTAGTGTGTTTTAATTAATAAGCGAGGCTATTGACATTTTAACACCAATTTTTCCCGGATTGACTTTTGTTTGTGGAAGATAAATAGCAGAATCAAAGATTAATCAGAATCAGTCGATTAGAACAGGGTGACGTTGCAAAACTCGCACGTGATCAGCAAGTTTGGAAAGCTTCCGGGACATCTGCCAAATTCGAACATTGTGAAAGATCAATCTCCTAGTTGCCAGCTATACAATAGTAGACCTTCTGTTTGCTTGAAGTAAACAGAAATCGAAACTAAAAAACAGGTTGAACAAACATGACAATTCTAAAAAATCAACTGTAAAAATTCCTCTGATAACTTAGTTATGATATTTTTATTAGATTTTTATTGATCTGGGAAAATGTAATATGGAATATTAACAGAATTATTATTAAATTCTAAATAATAAAAATTTTCTTATACAAAAATGTTTAATTTGTGATTTAGGTCATTAATTAAGCCTTTAATTACTGACGGACAGTTTTCATTTAACAAAAAATCACGTTTCATGTAATATTTGTCAAGCAATATTTATCAATTAGTTGTTGGACCAATGATACTATGTATCAATTATAACAATTTAAATGTCTCAAATTAGAACACGATAATCACAAAAAAACTCACTGTCACTCGATAGGGTCATCAAACTGGTATTTAATTGAAGCAAGATTCAACGTTTTAATTACAGAGTTCCATAAAACTGAATCTCGATAACTCGTTATCTGGTAATAGTCGTTGAAATTGTTGGGGATCGCATTTCACACCAATTCGAAAGGGAAAAATGTTTGTTCTCTGTATTTTGTAACTTTATAGCTGCATAAACATTCAGTTTCAGAGAGCTGGTACGACCACAAATAATCGGCTGTAATACTGTAAATTTTGGAATTTACAAAAACGAAATGTTAATCCTTAATTTGAAATACCTAACTATATTTGATTGTTTAGTATATTTCAAATAAATATGTGTTTACAATAAATAGAACATCGTTGGAAAGATGAACAAACGAGTGACCCTTCTGGTCTCTGGTTAATGTTAGCGATGCTTCATCGGTTCGCAACGACGGAAACTCTTGCAAGTTGGTACGTGTACGAAATCAGAAATTCGTTTCCGGTAGGGCACGGTCGAATGCCTGGAGCTTTTCACTCGTCTCGTAACAAAGTTTCTATCTGTGCCCTGTTAAATCTGCGAGCCATTAAAGTTGCGCCGACCGGTAAGCTCGAACAGCTACTCGTCCAGGATTCAAATGGTTAAACTTATCGCGGGCTAATACAAGTATCGACGGGGATAGAATTCCTGGTCTCGTAAACTTGCCACCCTCCGAAGGGTGCTGAAGCGTTCGCCCTACGAGCTACCTCGAAAAACTTGTCGTCCTCGTTCGAAATTTTGCCCTCTAAGTTTCTTTGAATGCAAACGAACGTTAGTTCACCAGCAAGTTTTGCCAACTCTTTCGGTTCTGCTTGATAATTGCAGCTTGAATCGTTGTAAATGAGTCCCTTGAAATTGGGGGATACAGGAGAAAAGATAAATCCTGCCTCGACTTCAAATTACTGATCATCTACTTCGAAACCGATTTGGAATATTTTTTATAACATGATTTTTTTAATATAAAAAAATTTATTTAATGGAGAATTTAACGGAGATACTTGGAGTGGTGGCTTTGTAAAATGGAACAAAGTATTCTTTAAATAAATAAGAATTTCAAATGATTTGTTTCATAATAGGAGCAATGTCTGAGATATGACTGACCTATACTACTTACTGCACGTTGCGGCTGACTTGTACTACTTGTTACAGTAACTCATCATTTCTAATTGAAGTTTTATCCCCTTCCAATTTTCAATTTAATCCCTTTCCTTTCAAGTTATAATTAGAAATTGAGATTTAAAACATGATATTTGAAAATGGAAAATGGAAAAGGGAAAAGGGAAGGCAGACAGTGGGCAATGGAGAGCGAAAAATAGAAAAAGAAAACAGAAGATGGAAGATGGAAAATGAAACATAGAAAGTTAAAAATTAATATTGAAAAATGAAAAAATGGAAAATACAAAATGGAGAAAGTATTTATTGCCTAAGCGTTTTGCTTTGAATTCGCGACATATCTTTTATCATTAGAAACTAAGAATCCTAATAAAAAATAATCAACCACTTCTCTCTTAGTTCAAAGGAAAATACTGAACGTTAAAAATATAAATGTCTTTTGTATAGAAGGGAATTACTGTTAACGACCTCTGAAAACCAAGCCCATTACGTCAGTTTGCAGACATTTATATAGGACCACTAATTTAATTGAAAAAGAAAATACTGAGATACAGATGTTACGACGGTTACAAAGTTTCTACGAGCCATAAAGCACGCCCATTATTCTAGTAGTCTTCTTTGAGACAAGCAGGAGTGACAAAATATAAAACCACATAATGTTCTTTCCTCTTAACGTCTGCCTCAAAATCTAGCGCGAATTTATGCTGCTTTATTACCCTGTTACAGGAATAATGGCGAGGGAAATGTATAGCGTTAAAATAGGATGCAGAAATAAAAGGTAGGATGGAGAAAAGAAATTAAAGTTCCAGGTACAATACGTAGCCGTGGTACAATTAAAACGCTTAAAATATTCTTTTATTCAGTGGAGTCAAATTCAATTCATCGCTATACTTTTCGAACCACCTCCTGTTTTTTCAAGTTAAATTACGTTCCTTTCGTTAAAATATTTTCAAGAACAAACAGTTTTGAAAGTTCTAAAGAGCTGCCAAAACATTTCAAAGAATTGTGTAAATTAAATTTTTCAAATTTATAAAATAATCGTTAAATAAAAATTGTTTAAATATTTAATAATTTATCATAAAAATTGAATAATTATGTCAAATAATTTTCCACCTTCTAATTACCCAAAATACACTGCACTTAGTAGCAGCCTTTTTTGAAAAACGCATCCTTGCACAATAGCAGCATGCATTTAATCACAAGCTAGGAGTAAAGAGAGACGGTAAACAAATCCGCGAGCCGCGTTTCAGCTAAACTTTTGTCGTAGCCGTAACAATTGCGGCCATTCATTGTATTCTTCATCATCTTGGTTTCTGTCCGAAAGAAAAAAGCAGAGGCGTAGTTCGTCGAAGAAAATGTGAGGAGTAAGAAGAAAACTGCCTGGTCCACCCGTTATAAAACATTCCAACGTCACCGAGTTTACTTCAGTTTCCACGAAGCTAGCCGGCTGTTTTTGTTTTCAACATTGATCCTGTCCCAGACACCGCTTCTCCTCTCTTCTTCTGGTTTCCCGCGCTTAAACCGCTTTTGTTGCATGCAAGAATAAGCGATGTTACGTGGGTTTATTTTGACATGTTCAAGATAAGGTTTGTCTTTTTTCTCTTGTCTTTGAATTTGATGTGGTATAAATTTCATGTTGTTAAGATTATTTAAATTAAACAAAAATTGAAAACAATTCTAAATAACTTTAATATTACATTAACTTTCTAATTATGACTACCTATAATATTTAAGAATTGCTATATTAAGCGTTTTGAAAATATAATCAAATAAAAATTCTCAAAATTATTTTAGAAAAAAATATATTTTAATTATTAAATATTATAAATAATAGAATAGTAAAAATGTGTATCTTTTTTTTATTGCTCCTGTACAAATAAATGCTGTATCCTTCGATAGAAAAACGACGAAGCATCAATAACACGGAAGTCGTCTTAATTAGCAGAAAACTGTAATTAAGCGGCGACGATTTCTGCCTTAAGGGAGCAATAAAACAAACAACTGGAAACTTTCATTCTGTAACTCGTTCAGTTATTTTCTTTTTTTTCATCGTTTTCTTTCGATTCCTTATTATTTCTTCTTCTCTCTATATTGCTTCTCGCCTGTATTTTCTTTCATTTTAACGGTTCAAGAAATTTCATTATTTTCTTAATTATCGGATGAAATCAAATTCCATAATAAGTGACCCTGCAATATCTAAAAATATTGGAATTCTTTCTCTTGAAATATTTCTATATTTAATTAAATTTTTCTAATTAATTATGAAGAAAATGTATTAGCAGAGATTCTTATTTAGCAAGTTTTAATTTTCTGTAAATCTCAGCTTAAAAAGAAATCTTCAATATACTGTAAATTAATTAAATTTAAAATTAAGCAAATACTTCTTCAAATTTTATCTAATTCACCTGCAATGTATAAAATACTGAACTTTTTAAAATATGCTCCAAGAAGAAGGATGAATCTCTCATAAAACACATTCTATAAAAAAATCCTATCAGTTCTTCGTTGATGAAGATCACAAACCATCCGAGTCAGGAAAATTTCCCTTGTGAAAAACTGTTAGTAAAGATCGACAAGAGCGATAGACTGTCGGCTAGTGCACCTTTCCAAGTACGATAGAGGGTGTTCGTAATAAGTGATTGCAAAATAATGAAGAATCTTCAAGAGCGATGAGGTTCGAGGGAAATTTATCCAGCCTGATGGAATCCATTAGAGTTCGTCCGTTTTTTATTTCACAAACCCTTCGCTAAAAGAAGAACG